AGAGAGAGAGAGAGAGAGAGAGAGAGAGAGAGAGAGAGAGAGGGGGGTGACATGCAGCAAAGGGCCACAGGCTGGATTCGAGCCCGGGCCGCTGCGGCAACAGCCTTGTACATGGGGCCCCTGCTCTATCCACTAAGCCACCGATGCCCCAGAATTTGGCTTTTTAATATAAAAGGTTACAATTGGCATTCACACCCAGGCAAAATGACTTTGCAGTGGTCACAGGTATTTATCGGCTCTGGTTCCGATCGGCTTTGATGGAAACACAACGCAACTTTTAGCCCCTTAAACCGATGAGCTGCAATGTCAAGTCACCACAAAGTATAGTGTGTCTCCCCCCAAGCAAAGCTCCAACATCATTCCATATTAGTCTGCTCAGAGTTTGAAAGTGAGACTGAATATAAGTAAGAGATATATGCTGTTTCTACTGTTTACTAACCTGTTTTCTGGCTTGTCCGTGACGTCAAACGTGACACACCAGAAAACACACACACACACACACACACACACACACACACACACAAAGGCATACTGTCTGCTACAGAGCCATGCACACAGCGCTGATCTGCTGGCAATGGGAAAGAACTCTATTGCCTACTTCTAGCTGGTTTACTGTGTTTAACAAAACCTGCATACATGTGCTAATTTCGGTGGAAAAGGGGTATAAAGATCACTATAGAGTTAACTATAGTGATCTTTATACCCCTTTTCCACCAATAGTATAGTATCCAATAGTATTAGTACAGTAATTTTCTATGATATGATTAAAAAAAACATAGATGTAGAAAACACTGTGAGGATCAATGAATTATAACAAACAAACATAACTACCTTAAACTGGCTTAATAAAGTTGAAAGAACTTTGAATGAAAAATAGTGGAAGCTCTCTCACCCCTTAAAGGTGCAAAATGGTTTATTCCATCCCTTCACTAGGATACACAGAGACAGCGAATGCTTAGGGCCCAGAATTTGGTGCTACGCCCCTGCCCTTTAGTATCACAAACCTAATTATTTTTCATGTAGGCCTACTTGGTATAATCAAATATAGAGAATTCATTTATTACAAATTGATTGATATTATTATTATTATTATTATTATTATTATTATTATTATTATTACAGTAAGCAAACTCCATCCACTAATGATGTGGTGGTTCAATTTACGTAGAGTGCCCAACTGCGCATGCGTGTAAGATGGTGGAACTGGCAGTACCAGCTGGGGAAGTAAAGTTTCAATAAGAAAAAATGGGTCGTTAACTTTGTATTCTTTTATACGTCTCACACTCCACGCAGAGAGTATATCGTCCAGAGACAGAAGGATAATCATGACAGCTAACGAGGATCAAGAGGTATGAATGAATGATGATGCAGTAGTAGGCTAGCTGTTAACGGCTAACTGCTAACTACCTGACACTAGCGTGGCGAGCTTAGGCAGCATTGTGCTCGTTACACAACAAAACAAGTCAACATGTCAGCTTTATTTTAATGCACGAGAGCTCAGGTCAGACTGTCAGGTGTCTTTGTAGCTGTTGTTGAGCCCCGATAAGCGTCGTTTATGACGGAGTAAATGTCACGCCAAACTCCATTCAAAAGTGTACCAAGTTAAGTGTGTTAAACTATATGGAGGAATATGTGCAACATAAACCAAAAGTCAAGACCTGGTCTGAATATAAAACGTCCTTAAATTCATTCGGTGTGTATGGTATCTGTCAAACAATACATGATACCAAGTAAATATTAGAAATACTGAAGTCATCTGCCACCATGCAGTAATAAATGATACGTGAGCAAGAGGGTATAGCAAGTTAAAGGTTGAATTTATGGTCCTTAGTTAATATCTTAAGGATTACATGTATGCCGATTAAAACAATAGGTCATCATTATCTCGTGTAAGGTCTTGAGTTGTGGTTCTGTGCTGCATACCGGTGTCAGGAGTAATTTAACATATTTCAGAATGGTGTTTGGTGCGTGGAAGCTATCAGGATAAGCTGCTGCTGATGTAGTCAGCTGACTAACCACCTACTATTCACTCTCCTCTCCAACCACAGATGGAGTTGGAGGCTCTTCGCTCCATCTATGAGGGAGACGAGTGTTTCAAGGAAATCAGCTCAGTTTCCTTTCAGTTTAGGGTGAGTACTGTCCTGTGTACTGTTCCCTGTACTGTCCATGCCTGCTTGAAAAAAGACCATAACCTGTTCTTCCCCAGCACCCTGTTTCAACAGCATATACATCAAATTAAGAAGAAAAAACTCTGAAAAAATGTTTTTCTCTTTTACTTCATGACCTTTACCACACTATTAGGATGAATTATGTAGTAGAGCTTTGTCTTACTCTCTATTCTAATGTTATAAAACAGATAGGAGAGCTTGAGGACACCAAAGCATTCATCCTGGACATCACATGGCCTGAGACGTACCCTGAGACGGCCCCACAAATCTCCCTTGATGCCTTTTTCAACAACAGAATGTAAGTTGCAAGCACAGTGCCGTAATTATGCATTACTCTACATTTGAAATACTGATGGTAGATTAGAAGATGACATCAGAATCTGGAAACATTAGCATCTTTTGCCATTACAGGGTTCTAAACTGAATGACTGTGCTGTACAACAGTTAACAGATATGGTTTAAAGGAGTCTGTGTACCGTTATCTATTGGTACCCCAATGCATTTGGATGTAGCCAAAAATGTGGTCTGAAAATTGTTGCAGTCTATTAGGTTTGTAAGCAAGATATAAAGGGGACCTGTGACGCCGATTTTCGAGAACATGTTTACATGCTTTAATGCCCAAAAAACACTTTATTTTTCTCATACTGTCTGTGCTGGAACACCCGGATTCATGCTCTGTCTGAGATGCTCTGTTAAGGGTCTTTCTCTTTAAGCCTGCCTCCCAAAAAAGCCCAGTCTGCTCTTATTGGTCCAAAATCATGGGGAAATTAACAACAGCAGCAACCAATTTTACATGTTTTCCTGAAGTTATGTAGCATAATGTATGTTAGCAGTGTACTTGTAGTGGAAGAATGACTGTAATAGGGAACAGCGACACTGTCTACCATGAATAATCACCAAAAAAGCTTTTAAACACAGAAATATGATCCGAAATCAGGGCAAAATAAACATCAGCAATCAAGACTATGTGTCCCAAATGTTAGCATGTAGCTACATGTAGCGGTGTACTTGGAGCCGGGGAATGACTTTAACAGAGAATAGCGGAGCTTTCACCTGTGAAAAATCATCAGTAAAAGCTGCTAAACCCAATTGGAAATGGTCAAACAGGAATATTACTCAAAGTCGGGAGAAATTAACAACATCAGCAACCAAGTTTACGTGTTCTTTGACGTTAGCTTGTAGCTACATGTATGTTAGCAGTGTATTTGAAGCCAGGGAATGACTGTAATGGAGAATATTGGCACTCTCTACCATGAAAATCCACCAATAATATCTTCTAAACATAATCTGACATGTTTCAGCAGAAATATGATATTTTTTTTTATAAAAAGCCTAAATGAAGAGCCAGCTTTTGTTTACTTCGAGTGCACGGTCACAGTGTGATACTGTTATTGTTGGGCACATCATTTTAGTGATGTTCGTGTTGTTTCTTTTGTTACGCTGATTTAACAACAGCTCTGCAGAGACAAAGCAGCTGATCCTGTCAAAGCTGGAGGAGCAGGTGGAGGCTAACCTGGGCACTGCTATGATGTATACTCTGTTTGAGTGGGCCAAGGAGAACCAGGAGGCCCTCATGGAGAACCACAAGCCTGTAGTCACTGCTGTGGTCAGTATATTTCATCACTCTGACTAAAAACATCAGGACAGTTTCAAAGTCCCGTGTCTCAATCCCTGGATTGGTGCTCTTCTTCCTCAGTGTTTGAATGATTGTTGAACAAACAGCCCGACATCACATTTTGACAAAATAATTATTTCTTGTTGCAGACGTTGACATCCAGCAGTGAGGTGACGACTGCCGCCTCAACAGCCAAGAAGGAGAAGAAGAAGGAGCAGCTGACTAAAGCTCAGAAGAGAAGGATGGTCAACAGAACAGGTACATCAGTCAGACTATCCACAGTAAAACAGTCTTCCATTTTAAAGGGCTATTTTTTTTGTATATGGAAACCTTATCAAAATCTGACCCTTTCTTTACTGTGCTCTACCATATTTTGTTACCTCAGTCTGCTCATGTCTCAGTGTGCTGCTCTCCTTTCCCCCAGCTGGACTCTAGAGCTGCACAATATGAGGAAAATATGCAATAACTATATGATGGATAACTTACTCAAAGACATTTCCACATCTGTGAGATTTGGTTTTTATAAAGGTTCTGACCGCTTGACACTGATTAACCCTTAACTAACCAGTTCATTTTTAAGAAAAAAAACGCAAATTGACGTGAAATACAAGAGGTGCCAGGGCTCAACACTATAGCAGTTAACTCTGGGGTCAGCAGGGTCGTATATGACATAATGTTACTAACGTTAAATATCTCTGAAACAGTACACCGAAAGACGTACTTTTTTTTTTTTTTTTTTTTAGCTCAGAAGCTAATTGTTGGGCTTTTTCCAAGGAGGGCTCTGATGGGATCATTTCCCTTCCTGTGATGGTATTGTTGTTAGCCGTCGTTGTTGCCTTTGTGAAACCAGTCAGAAGTTGTTTCTGAAGCAAGTGGCTGAGATGTGGTGCTGCCGTCGATCTAACACCAGTGCCAGTGGGTCTCTCTCAAGCTGTTAGCAGAGTGTGTGTGTGTGTGTGTGTGTGTGTGTGTGTGTGTGTGTGAGTGTGTGTGTGTGTGTGTGTGTGTGTGTGTCTGTGTGTAAATTAACCTAGACTGACATGTGAAACTGGTCAAACATTTTCTCAGCCAAGTAAAAGTTTACCATCCCTTGTTCAAAGTTTTTATCAGTATTTTTTTATTGGCAGGTCAACATGTTTCAGCCTGTTGCCTTCTTGTTTAAAATAAAGTTTTTTGAATACGTCAAGTGTTGCTGGAGATTTGACACTATAAAACTACTTCCTCTCTCTGTGCACCATGCAAGTAGGTGATGATGTTGCCCAAAACCCTAACTTTGCATTGGATATTTAAACTGAATCTGCATATTTGGAAACCAGGAGCAGTCTAAAAACATGTTATACTTTGTAAGAAGGCCAGTAGTAATGTTAGGTACACATAATGTTCAGTTTAATACAGTTAATTACAACTTGAGTTGTATTTTTGTAGCTCTGGTAATCTCTAACCTTCTACTCATCAGTGTAATCGCTGAGATCTGGGAACACAGTGGCATCACTAAAAAATAGTTTGATGGGTCTGGACAGACAAACACTCAGACGATCAGATGTCAGGTTTGGAGCAAACCAACAAACGTCAAACTTGTTTCGGAAGAGAACACAAAGGCAAACGCTAAAATTACAACCTAAACTGTCAGTTGGAAACATCCATTACAGTTCACAGACCCACTTCCTGCTTCAACTTTGACCTACTTCATGAAGTTGTGTACCCACAGTTGACAGGAGGTGGTGTATCAGTCCTGCGGAAAATGAGTATTGAATACGTTGAAATATTCAGAATCGATAAGTTTTGTTTTTTTTGACAACACCAGCCTAAACCCAAGAAAAGTTTAAATTTGCTGCGTCATTCCATCACATACACGTGCGGCATTTCATAAATATTTTCCGAAAATTCATTTCGACTTCAGCTGTTGAAAATGTTGGCGCACCACTATAATTTAAAGTAAGTAGTGAATGTGTTTTATTCAGCAGATAACAGTGCGCATCATAATAATTTCTGCTTTCAGATAACAAAGGAGAATTGCCAAGAGGTTGGAACTGGGTTGACGTTATCAAAGTAGGTGTATTTTAACTTCTCTCCACAAGATGGTGCCCTTATTCAGCTTTATGCCTCCAGTGACATACATCATGAACCTGACTGTATTCATTTGTCTTTTTCTCCCTCGTCATCAACACTTGATGATCCTCCAGCATGTAAGTAAAAACCATCTAAATTAAAACCCCTTTGAAATCCTTCACAAAATGCCATGTCTCATTGTTTCCTTGTGTTTTCTTGTTGTAGCTGAGTAAAACAGGAGGAAAAGATGATGATTAGGAACAGGGACCTGGTTCTGCTTTGTACAAGGACGTGTCAGTGAAGACTGAACTCACTGCGGCCTGTTGATGCTGCTGGTCCTGTCTAGATGCCTTCAAATCCTTCAACTTCAACATTTAGCACTCAACATGGCTGCTTCCACCCTGAGAACCAAAGCAGGCTGGGTAAAGGTGGACTTCAGGAAATACACACACACTCACACACAAACTGAGACTTTGAGTTGGGAATGATTTGTTGCTCTTGTTGTGTTTTATGTGTTTGTGGAATACAGCCAGGTGACGAGGAACATATCATCAGGTTTTCTTGGTCATGCACAGTTAGCACACAGATATTCTGCTCAGTCATCCGTCAGGGTGGAGTGTGCTGGAGATAACTTGCTGTCACTGCCATGTAGTCAGTCTGAGATCAGGCCCAGGAGCCAGGTACTGGAGCTGAAAGTGTTGGATTGTGGTTCTAAATGGGTGTGTCAAAGTGCAGAGAAACTTTTAATAACACACAAACTGTTAATCCTTTCACCTTTTCTTATTTTGACAAATGTTTTTTGCCCTATGAATTGAAAAACTTAAATTTTTTATATATAAATAAAACTGAATTTGGTCAACTGCTTGTCTCATAATTTCAGTTCTCATTACTTTGAAGTGTGTGAGGTTTAAGAGAACAAGAGTGACTGATGCATGTGAATAACTAGTTTCTCCTGCAGCGGTTTTGTGTATGAATGTCCCATCATTTTTAGAGCTGCAAACTTTCCCGTAAAGGCATGGGCCCACTGGCAAAGATTAATAACTGCCTTCAAAGTGAAGCACTTAATTGTGTAACCAGTTATTGTATTACATTATAGCAGTGGAGGCTCTTGGGTACATTAGGGTCGAAATATTTTGCACCTATCCGAAAGTGTGAAGTCACACAATTGCACTGGAGTTACAAAGGAAGTTGAGTGATTCTGCCTTCAAAATAAAAGTCTCAGTCTCGAGTTCAGTGATCTGAAAAGGAGTGGAAATTCTTCAGTTACTCTGTTAAAACTTAGGAGATTCAAGGCATAGTTCAATTTTTTTTAATGTAGGGTTGTATGATATACTTACCCATAGACAGTATATCACAAGCAGTAGATGTCTGTCGGTATGTCTGCAGTTCAGAGAACCAGGCTGGAGTCTGACATGGCAGCTAAGCAATCTCTTGCTGTGAATGGGTCAGCAACAAAATGTATTTTAGCCACCTAAAAATATCAAGTTGAAGTATATGCTGTATTTTAAATATTTTCACTGCTTTACCTTTCTGTCAGTGATTTTCAATAGAATGAGGAAGCCCTTACGTCAGTCTTCAAAGCCAGACTCCGCTGAGTCAATGTTTAAACTTTGCTGAACGCAGGAGCTGCTGGTCTACTGCTGCCTCAGTTCTTTTTTGTGTTATTGTGTGACTTTGGCATTTTAGTCATGCAATAACACTAACTGTTTGAAGCAGCAGTAGACCAGCAGCTGCTGTGTTCAGCGAGCAAAAATCAGTTTTCTCAATGGAATCTAGTGACTTTAACAAGAGTATAGATGGGGCAACTGACACCATTAACAGCTTCTGTGTTGGACCGGGCTGTCTGATGGAAAGGTTAAGCAATGAAAATACTCTCAACATAGCCTACACTTAAAGTGGTATTGATTTTCCTTGGAAACCTTTTTATAGGTGACTACATTTTGTTGCTGCCCCCTTCTACAGCAGTACGTTGCGTAGCTTCCATGTCGGACTCAAGTCTGCTTCTCCAAACTGGGGGCGTGCTGGCTGACATCTATGTACCACACTATGGATAATTTCCTCATCCAACCCCGCATCAGAAATTCTGATTCTGATTATCCCTTTAATATCTTAACAGGTAACGCTCACTGCTTGCAAGTTCTTGCACACCAGAAAATCACAACAAACCTCTTGTGAAAAATCAAAAATTCTCCACAAGGTCCATCACTTATACTTTATCTCATCAGGTAGAATATACATGGACAAACGGCACTGGTGTTATACACTGTATATTAAACCAGCCTGCTGCTGTTGGTTTTTTGTAAAATTTTCCTGATGAAGGTCTGAGATGATAAATATAGAAGTGAGTGCAAGTGACTGTCAGAATATGAGATATGTAATATTACTCACCACACTAAATATGTTTGAATCTGACGATTTTCGTCACCGAATAGAAACAGGTGGACACTAAATTTACAGGAAGTTTAACTAATAAGGTAAGTGAATAAATAAAATGTGTTTTCAGTCATTTATAGGCTGGTCATAAATGGGTTAGTGGCGGTGGGACTGCACCAAGGGAACATCCCTACTACAGACCAGAAAAACCTCCTGGTAATTTCTAAAACACACCACATGTAGGAGAACATCTGATACTGAATAACATTTATTATATATCCCCACTAATTGTGTGAGACAGTATGTCAGTGCTGACCAGTTAAATTAATTCTGTCACATTCTGAATGGATAAGCCAAAGGCTGTATGTAAACTACAACACAGATACACACATAACTGGTATATTTTAGAGGGAAACAATTTGCTTGTTATGCTGCCTCACCGAAATAACTCCCTTATTTTGGAATTTGATGTCGCGCTATAAATGTTTTATTTTGAAATATGCAAGCGGAAGTTTGGCCTTTCATATATAGTGCTTGACAGATGCAGTCTCTGATATCGGTCGGAGGTGAAAGAATGTGGACCTACTACAGAGATGGGTTTTTTCCCAAAAAGAAGAAGAAAGTAAGTCTTGTCGTTACATATTATTTTTTTAAGACCTGATGAAGATTTAGTTGTCAATAAAATCATATTGGCTATTTGTTTGTTGAAAAAACATTTTGTTTAAATTGTTTATCAAGGCTTCTGCCATTAATCAGCTGCACTAGCATAGCAGCTAAAAGCTATTTGAAAAAACTACCAAAAAAGCCTTTTATTTTGTTAATCATTATTACATCTTGACTGTTCTATTAAAGTCCTTATGTCCTTATTGTTAAATGTCACCACAATGTGAGGTAGTTACAATTTTGTAAGGATGTTTATACACATCATTTTTGATGTGTATCTTTAGGTAGTTATTTCAGTATTTCATGAAAGCTAAATGAGTCTCTGTAGAAAAGTGATATTGTCCACTTCCTGTCTTGCAGGAGGAGAAAGAGGCTGTAACACTTCCACCTATAAACAGTGACTCAACTTCACTGTGTCAGGTGATCTGTATACATAGGTATTATTATGTAAGAGCTGTATGTATCAATGTCCATCCACCACTTTGGTCCAACCTGAAATCATTTTTACAATAGTGGGTTGTCTGGGCCTTCTCTATGTCAAACTCAAAATCATAGTTTGCTTTTCCATAGTTGAATTGAAGTGTGCCGGAAAAGTGTCTGAATTCAATCACTTGTTCAGTGTTCAACTTATCCAGAAATGAATAGGATTTCTTATGTCATCTAAATGTGTCACAGCTTCTTGGATGCATATTGCTAGTCCTCTATAGCAAGCTCTTTTTGATCATAAAGGCTGACAAGTAGTGATTTAGTCTTAACTAGTCAAACTGTGTCAAAACGACATTTTGACAAGTTGAACTGTGAATTGAAAATAACTGGTAAAAATAATTTTGACATGTTATAAATATATTTTCACATATAGAAATTACATTTCATCTAGTCAAAAGTGATTAGGGTTTCAAAGGTATGACATTTTTCACTGCACAATAACCATCTCAGAAAATATTGCGGTTTCACAGTATCACAGTATTACAGAATTATTATCAGCCAGAATGAGCCTTAAAGGAATGAAAACAGAAAAATTATTATTTGTCGAACATGTGTTTTATCATTACAATAAGTAAGTATGTGTGTGGAAGTATGTGTGAAAAGTCTCCCCTTTGAAAATAACTAAAATAAAGGGGATATTCTCCATCAAGTTGCATTTGTTCATAAATTAGCAAGTGTACATGATATAATAACTGTCAGTTTTTACAAGGTATACCTTAAAACAGGTTTACTGCTCCTATGCTATTATAGATATTAGTATGTTTTTGGTTTTTTGTTGTTTTTTTTTTTCACTAGTAAGACTAATGATTACAGATATCTACAATTGAATTTTCACATGCTGAAAAATGATTGTGGCTGCTAGAAATGTAATCATAAGTGTTATATCATAGGCAACTGGACTTGCTTGCGTTTCTTGGAGACGTTTCGCCTCTCATCCAATAAGCTTCTTCAGTTCTAAATGAGCCTGCAGCCTGCAGTTACATAGCAGTTATGATTACCGTGACCTGGATGACTGAGAATCTTCACAAACATACTTGAATTGTAATTTCCCGTTTCAGATATCAATTTTAGGCAGTAATTATAATGTATGTCTGGGGGGACACATCCACCCCAATATTCACCACCATTTTGGGACCGCCACAGTTTTTACAGGGACATCCGGAAGAATTCAAAATGATCTCATAAATGCTGTTGCTGAGGTGCTAAATGGTGCTGTCAAGAAAGAGATTAACTTTACCAAGTTCATGGCAGTGTAAAATGACGAGTCCACCAATTTCAGCAATAATGCTTAGCTGTCGTTTTTTCGGTATGCCGGTATGACTCTTGCGTTTGCAGTTTCAATCACCCTGAGGTAGGCTAGTAACTTCACAGGTGAGAACAGGTCATAGTCTTTTGTGGTTCTGGAGGAGGTGAAGGCTACAAATCTAGGTCTAACAAAGGATGCCATTGGATTATGGTAAATATAGGATCAAGGGTTTGGCTCGACCAATTAGCGGGAGTTAAAGTGAGGATATCTTGGCCGCCTCTGCTTTGACTTTACCCATTTAAAGTAAGATTTTAAAATGGTCTCTCACAACCCAACAAACTTTATGTACAGTATCATACGTTCAGAGTAAAGTCAAGTACCACTTAAATATGACTAATTCCTGTTTGGAAATGTTTGCAGGCCTTAACATACCCATCCATATGTCTTCTCTTGTTCTTAATTTGTAGAGGACAAACAGGAAGGGCTGTGATCCCAAACTGAAGGATGAGTCCAATACTATAAATCACCTCAGAGTAAGTGCTTCAGGCCAACAGCCAACACTGAAGCACTTAATGTTTGCCGATACATTTTTTGCTCTCTGACCATTCATTTTTCACCAAAGCAATCTCGAGGTTTTCACTGCTGCGTTATCCTGTCTGTTTCCAGTTTCAAGTACAGCTGCAGCAAACAGGCAAAACCCAAAATGATCCATACTTAGAGGACAGGCTAAGCGATATACTACACCAAGGCCATTTGTTCAAGGTGCGTCCTTTATAGGCTTGTACATGTAAGTAGCCACTCCATCCTTTAAATTAAATAAAGAGACTTTTAAACAGAGTAGTACCCAACCAAATGACCTTTCCAAAATTCATCAACGTCCAAATGTGTTTTAACAGGTTCAAGCTGCCAAGTCCTTACTAAACCTACGTGAATATGGGAGAACAACTGAGGACTCAACAAAGTTATTAAGGAGCATGGATGCTCTAGTCAGAGAGGATGAAGATGAAGGTCATGTTACGGAGGCAGACAGTGGGGCTTATCTGTCTGTTAGGTCAAACAAAGATGATGTGGATAAAAGATGCAACAGCAAACTCCCAGTGACAAACTTGTCGTGCAGTACAACAACCAATGAGATCCAGAGAAAAGAGGAGCCTTTGTTCCATGTTGAAGAGAAGAGATTCATGATCTACATATGCGGTGGATACAAAGGTAAGAATGAACAAATCTGACATGCACACACCGTGGAAGAGAACCTTTTCTGGCTGGCTGCCAGGTGTTTAAAAATCATCAAGTTATATTTGGGATCACTCTGAATGACTGTTTTAAGTCAGTCTGTCTGGTATATTTGAGCCTGTATGAATGTGAATACAGAGCATTGCTGTAAGAAAGTAGCCTGGAAATCCAGACCCAAATCTAGAAAGATTTAGGGTCTGGCCATGAGTAATGCAAATGGCCCAACTCGAGGGGCGGCACCAAGCATGCATTTATAAATATCACTGCACGCAACTGGATAACACTACGACCAATCAGAACAATACAACGGGTGACGTATACGCTTAGCTACCAGCGGAGCTAACTGGTAGATTAGACTCTTGCCGTATCCAGTCGGCAAAACAGCAAAAACGTCCTTCTTGCAGAGGAAAGACTTGAGCGCCGTCTTCTGTTCCTCTTTTAGAGAAAAAGCCAAGTCTAACTCGTTCATTGTAGCGGCCAAAGCCGTTTCAAAACAACTGGTGTTCTTGCGTAGCCATCTTGTAGTGTTTACTGACTGATTCCGGACTTCGTCGTCGCAGCGCTGTCGTCATCTGTTTAGCTCGCCTCTGGCCCGCCTATATCAGATACACCGATGATTGGTGCAGCTCGGTTTCATGGGCATAGGTAATGAGCATCATTACTGATTGCCAGAGTGACTCGCTGAGCAAATTCAAATTGTGCTCTCGCGAGAACTCTGGATTTCCAGGGTAGTAAGAAAGCTTAATGCTCAATCAATTCTCCCTGAATGATTGATTTTAATGGAAAAGTTTTGGGAAATACACTTACTGGCTTTCTGATGGAGAGATAGATGAGAAGATAGATACCACTTTCACGTCTCTACGATTCATATGAAACTGGAGCCAGTAGGCTTTTAGCTTAGCGTAGCATAAGCTTAGCGTAGCAAAGGGAGTAACAGCCAAGCCCACAGGAACAACAGCAGTCTTTTGATAATAATTTTAATGAAGCCAAGTGGCCAAACTGTGGGATTCCAACTTCCGGGTATATCGTGAAGCCGTAGAGTGCTGCAGGAATGAGTCCCAAAACCTGTAAATGAGTTAACATTTTGCCACTCCTGGTTCCCTTGTCTTGAAGTCACTAAGTACGTTTACATGCGCAGTTAAGTGGAGTTATAGTTATAGCTCGAATAGGCCATTTAATTGGACTACTGTCCTTGTCCCAGTATACAAATACGTGAGGGGAATCAGTTTATTGGCTGAAGTATGTCCTCTACCATAGGTGGCAATATGCTCCCTTTCACCTTGTTAGTCTGGGTGTGTTCGTCCAACTTTTAGAAATTCGATTTGGTATGATTTCAGTTGCGCTAACACGTTTACACTAATTTAAAAGTCCGGTTTTAGTCAGACTGACACAATGAATTGATTTTCTCTGATGTCATGTAAACGCACTGAATGGATTTTTCTTAAGATGCCTGAAATAAGGTCTGTGGTTAACACAAGCCGAAAAGACTTTCACGTTTTGTTCTATGACATAAAATACATCGGTTAATATCCCATTGTGAATTTTGAAGCCTTAAGTGTCTTAAAAAAGACAGTTGCTAACAAGTGGCTAAATGAGACTACAGAGCGTCATCATGCCAAATAACGCCAAACACAGTTTACAGCCTTGTTGTGGTGGCGACGCTGAAGTCATGCGACTGTAGTTGAGTTTATTTATAGCCTTACGTTAGCTTTTTACCTTTGGTGATTGCATTTAAGCTTCAAAAATCATAAAAGTGGTGTTCATTTGTGAGGATTATCGACCTCATCGAAAAATATCATAAACTTGTTTGCCACAGAGCTTTTTTTCTGCAATAATCCAAAATCCCATTGGATTTTTGTAAAGAAACCAGGGTGACACTAATTTCCAGGTCACCTACAAAAAAACGTCATTGCTGCAGCACTCTGTTGGGCCCAGAGAGACTTTTTTCCCACGGACTTGCATTGCGAAAAACATGTCAGTAAATCTGTGGATGCATTTTTTGAGGGTCACAAGGTCCCTCTGGGACTTGATCCACATGGTCCAATAACATTTTGAAAGTCTAGAAGAGCCTCATGACTAAAAGATTTTAGATCTTGGTCCTTTTAGGCACGGAAGTTGAACATTTTTTGCTTCATGTGTCACAGAGCAGCTTTTATAGGAATGAACGGGTCCCCGCCTCCGAAGCTCTATCCAGTTCTCTTTCTACATCCATGGCAACAACTAGCCTGATAGCGTTTAACAGTAACAGTATCTGCCCACCAGCACCTCTAAAGGCTCATATGTACTCCCTTTACATGTGAAAATACATTAATTCATTTTAAATGCCATGAATGTCACTGCGCACATAGACACAGCCAATAGTTGGCACTATGAGGACAGAGTCAAAAGTTTCAGTTAACAACAAACAAGGTGACAGTGGAGGAGGTTGTAATAATGTACCTTTAAACAGAGGCAGCCAAGACACATATAGGCACCATGTGACAACTATAACCATATATATGTTAAATGCAAAGTGATGCCGTAACGTTATTGCTTGTTCAGAATGTGTCTTTCTGTGTTTTATAAAGCAGATTCAGTCACTATTGACATGCTGGAAAAGGAAGAAGTACCTTTTCCACTTGTGAATGTGTTTTATTCAGATACAGCTGAAGAGAGAAGTGCGCTCATGGAGAACATTTATCCCAGACTGTACCTGTACTGTAAGCAGAGAGGCTACGACTTCAGGATGGTCGACCTCCGCTGGGGGGTAGATTCACCTGTTGCTGAACGCCACGACACTGTAGAGCTGCATGTGGAGAATCTCCGGCAATGTCAGGAAACCCAGGGTCCAAATTTTATTGTAAGATGTCGTGTAGTATTATTTGACACTACAAGAGTGCAGATTTTCATCAAACAGCATGTTTCTATTCCAGATGATGAATGTTTGACTCTCTGTTCAGTTGTTTGTTGGACAGAAGTATGAGGTCCTGAGCCTTCCCTCCACCATCACCAGAGAAGTCTTTGAGGCCATAGTGACAGTGTTGGAGAGAGACCAACAGCAAACGTCCAAGAACAAACCAGTGGAGGACTTTCCTGCCTCGGGCTCACAGTCCAGCATCACTACAGACAGCAGCTCTGGCAGTTTTGTCCAGGATTCCATTTACAGGGATGATCGGAAGTTTGGAGAAGAGGCTACAATCTCAGGACTGCTGAGCCAGAACTCTCACAAGTCATTTCTAAGAGAGGAGAAGGGCAGACACAGCCCTGAAGGGAGCCCAGGGGATTTGGACAAAGACCTAACATTACTCCAGAGATGCTACAAGCTGGACGAGAATTGCCTTCCTCCTGTCTACCGCTTACTTCCCATCAGGTGAAAACAAAGACACCGGTCACAGTTTGAGTAGCATCAGATCATGTTATCATATTGGGTAACACTTTACTTGAAGGTATCTACATAAGAGTGACATGAAACTGTCATAACATGGTTCATGACACGGTCATGAACCTGTCATGAACATTATGTACATGTCGTAAACGTTTATGACTGCTGTCATTAAGTGTCATTCGGTATTTGTAATGACAAGTTGACATTGTTTGGGTTTTCTTGATTATGACAAGTTGACATTAATCAAAGTGACATTACCAGGAGTTGTCTTTGTCATGACAATTTGACATTAACAAAAAAAAAATGCACCTCTTTTTGTGTTTTTGACAAGTTGACATAATGATTGATACAAAGACATCTTCATCATTATAAGGACACCCCAAACAAATTTAATGTCAACTTGTCATGACAAAGACACCTTCTGGTAATGTTACTTTAATGAATGTAAAGTTGTCCTAATCAAGACAACCCAAACAATGTCAACTTGTCATTACAAAAACCGAATGACGCTCAATGACAGCAGTCATAAATGTTTATAACATGTACATAATGTTTATGACAAGTTCATGATGGTGTCATGTCATAGTTATGACAGTGTCATGTCACCCATATGTAGATACATTCAAGTAAAGTGTTAAATAATATTGTCTCCCTCATAACATTAGAATTGTTTTTTTTTTTGTTTTGTTTTTTATTTTTGTTCCAGACAAAAGTATCTAAACAACTAATAGATTTATTACCAAGACATTTTCTATACTCATTCTTCATCCCCAGAAGATGAATCCTAATGACACCGGTGATCCTCTAACTCTTCCTTTACTATCACAATAACGTTGAACCTTTGGTTTTGAGTGAAGAAGCTCTGCAACAAGCACCACCAGCAGGTCACATTTATCAACTATGAAATATTTCAACACCTACCAGATGGAGTGACACATTCATGATTCCCTGAGGATAAATCCTAATGATTTAAGTGATCCTCTGACTTTAAATGGGGTGGCTGTGGCTCAGGAGGTAGAGCAGGTCGTCCACAGTGGTTTGATCCCTTGCTCCTCTGGTCCGCATGTTGCAGTGTCCTTGGGCAAGATATTGAATTGAATTGCTCCTGATGGCTGTTCCATCAATGTGTGATTGAGTTTAGAAAACTGTGTAGCAGGTGGCTGTACAGTACCCTCCGTCACCAGTGTGTGAATGTGTGTGCAAATGGGTGAATGTGACAAGTTGTGTGAAAGCACTGTAAATGGTCAAACAACCAGAAAAGCACTATACAAGTGCAAGTCCATTATAGTTTTGTATTACCAGCAGCTTGACGTTTTTTCTAAACAAGTGTTGCCATGAAATTTGTTACAGACATTCATGTTCCCCACAGAATTAATTAATCACCTGTGTCTGTGATCCCCAAACCTTCATCAGGTCAAGACTCCAGTGTGTCCAATACTTGTGCTAAGGAGTACCTCCAAAATTAATCACACTCTGATCACTGACACTTTCAGTTAAGTGCTAATGTAAGCATGCTAACATGCTAATTTAAGATGGCTGCAAAGGAACACATTATACCTGGTAAAAATTAGCATGTTAGCATGCTGACGCATTTAGCTTAAAGCACAGCTGTCCTTAAAGGGATACTTTGCCAATTTTCAACTAGCTTTGTATTATAACATTGAGTAGTATGTGGTTAATTTCCTTCCATCTTGACAGCGCCCAGATCTCCCAGCTCTTTTGCCAGCGAAAATCCACCATTTCATTTCACCCAGTAGATTTTCGCTGGATCTCAGGCTGCTGCTTGAACTACAGATGGTATTGATGGAGATCAAACTGTAACACTAGGCAGTGCTGATCAAATATAAACCAAGATTCGATTACTATATTGCCTATTTCTCACCTCAGATGTTTTTGGAAACATACTTCAGTGCACTGTTTAGCTGTAATACAAGAATGTTTCTGAACAAGAAGTAGGCCCCATACTGTTCCTGTGTAATGAAAAATGGAGGCTGAGAAAACTGAGATCAAACAGTAAAACTCAGCAGCACTGATCAAAAATACAGTATGAACCAAAATTATTTTACTGCGTTTCTCACCTCAAATGTTTTCAGAAACAATAGTTTAGGTTATTCTTCAACTGTAATATGAGATCATTTGTTACCACCTGGCCACCATATTGTTTCTAGATGGACATCTCCTACATCACCTACCAGCGGAAGCGTTTATTAGTCCGATGCAGAGCAGTGCATTCTGGTAGTTGTAGGTTTTCTACCTGTTGCAGAAAAAGCTAATGCCGCAGCTCTTTTTCTCTGTTTTCTCTGGTCTTTTAGCACCAATATAAAAGTATATGTGTTTTTCTACTGCATAGACAGCCTAGTTTTGTGAAAAGACCATCTATCCAGCAGTGAAATACTTCTTTGAGTACAGCTTCATAGAGCGGCTACCATGGCTGTAGACTCTCAGTCTTGTTACACAACATAGATCTGATATTGTTTTTTAGTTTTTCATAAAGAAATGATCTAGGTTAAAGCAGCACTGGGAATGTTTGTGGTCAAATGTGAAGTCTTCAGTGGTTAAGATCACATGTAACAAGGAAGACAGAAAACTGGGAAGCTAAACAAAACGCTAAAAGGCTGAAGCCCCACTCGCTGCTCGTGCAGGCTGCAAAGTTCACTGCACACAACAATGTAAAATATTTGGACCAACAGCAAACAATTGTCATGTTCCTTATGCAGAAAAAATCGATTTCAAAACATTCCAGCCTTAAATGATCTTTTGCAGAGGAAAGCTTCTGTCTATCACTCCATCTATCATCCTGTCACAACATACATTATCTATTGGTAACGTTCACAGCTCCCATCATCCTGACATACTGAGCATGGATGGGGAGCACAGGAGGCAGGCCAGGAAGAACTGGAGCGCTACCTGCCGCAGACTGTGGGGAGTTCTACAGCACAGTGCAGTTGAAGCACTTGGACAAGAGGAGGCATCACTGGTACTTAGAACAGGTACGACTGGAAAACACACTGTGTTTGATGTTGTTTCCTTTATCCTTCTTACCAGAAAAAAAATATTCTACTGTGCTGTTAGGTTATTTCTCATAGCAGGAGCTATGAGAAAATTGCAGTGAAATCCAGTATTGATGGATTAGAAATAGTAGTAGTCCTATGGTTTAAATAGAGTGACAAGATCAAATTAAAATACATGCTAACTTTCAAGTTTTGATAAATGTCTAACATGAAAGTTTCTCACTCCCACTCCCACTGGGGGTGAGTTCCTGCCCCAAGCGAAGGATATCAACTATCTTGGGGTCTTCTTCATGAGTGACGGTAGAGTCGAGCTTTAGATGGATCTGCGGTTTGGTGCAGGTACTGCGCCAGACAGTTGTTTTGAAGAGAGAGCTGAGCCTGAAGGTAAAAGTTATGATTTACAGGTACATCTACGTTCCAACCCTCACCTATGGTCATGAGCTATAGGTAATGACCAAAAGAATGAGATTACCAATGCAAGCAGCCGAAATGAGTCACCTCCGAAGGGTGGCTGGGCTCAGCCTTAGAGATAGGGTGAGGAGCTCGGATATCTGGATGGAGCTTGAAGTAAAGCCGCTGCTCCTTTGCGTCGAAAGGGGCCAGTTGAGGTGGTTTGGGCATCTGATCAGGATGCCACCTGGGCGCCTCCATTAAAGGTGTTACGGGCATGTCCAACTCGTAGGAGGCCCCAGGGCAGACCTAGAACATGCTATGCTAGACGTCTGGCCTGGAAAGTGTTGCTGGGGAGAGGGACGTCTGGAGTACTTTGCTCAGCTCCCATGAGCTGGCCTCAGATTAGCGATTTAAAATCGATGGATGGATGGATGGATGGAAGTTTCTAATGTCAAGACAATGACTATTGAAACAACAGATGTCGTCATTCTCTTTCCCTTTTTTCTGTGTAGTTCTTGACTGGGAGCTAGAGACAGGCCTGAGGTCTGTAGACAAGGCTCCACCAGAGGAGCACTGCCACTGCTACAACAGACTCATCCCAGACCTTTACTGCAACCTGAAGGATGACCATGCTGCTCAGTATACTAACCTCCTGGAAGTACGAGCTCAGCTCGATCCAGTTCTCAGCACAGCACACCACAGATTTATGGACCGGCTCCATGGAAAGGTATTTTCACTGTTTTGTGAAACTGTACTGTTTTTCCCTGGTGGATGATTGTTTGCTGCAACACATGACATACCTTTGATGATTTGGTAGTCTTGTCTTTCAGTACCACCTCTTACATACACTGTGTTCATTTCTATGTCTACATCATCAAGCTGCGCCACACCAATATTTATGAGCGTACTGTTGGATGGGGACGAAGAGGCCTGAACCCCAAACATAATGGCTCACTCCAGTTCTACACCAAGCGCATCTCCTCCCATTTTCAAAGGACTGTTATCAGCTCGCTCAACAAGTACAACATACACACATACTAACTTTTTATAAACTAAATATCTCTGTGTTGTATGGGTTTAATACAGCTGCTTTATGTGCTTTCTCTTTTTCAGAGTAATTAAGGTCTCCAAAACTCAAGGCTCTTTGGACACAGTGAGGAGAGAAGCTGTCAGAGTGCAGATACAGGAGGAGATACAATATCACGTCAACTATGGACTCCATCTGTGAGTGGGTCATTGTCTTTCCTGTACTACCAATCACTACTGACAAAATAGTATGTCTCAGAGCAGTCTACAAAAATCTACCTGGTTTTTCAGACTATTAGACAAAGCAAATGCAGTATTTCCACACATGCTTAAGTTCCAGTTTAACTCAAGTGAGTTTTCCCTCCGTCCCTCAGGGGGAAGGGCTGTACTTTGAGGCAAGCTTTCCTAGATGATGTGAAGAAGGCAGTGGAGCAGTCGAAAAACAGACCCATCCTCCTGGTGGGACCACAAGGCTGGGGAAAGAGCACCACCATGGCTGCAGTAGCACAGCTAGCGCCCTCTTGGCTACCTGGGTGAGATACTGCTAGAGCAGACGATCACATGGCAGAAATAAAGTTTTTCAGTTTGCAGTGCTCAGCTCAGAGATTTTCACATGGATTGCTAGAAATCAAATTACAGGTATATGTAACATAGATAAATACATACATATCAGTGCCATAGTCAAGACCACCTAAACCTAGACCAAGTTATGACCAAGGCCAGAGTGTATCAAGAGCAGGACAAGACCAAGACCAGAACAGTGCGAGTCCCACACGATAAAATGATAAAATGTGGAACATGGTACCCAGCACTCCTCAAATTAATCTGAAAGATCCACATCCCCATAAAAACTTTTGGGCAGTTGTGGTCTCGACCTGTCTTGAAATAAAATCCTGAGTTGCTTTGTCTGAGATCCAGACAAGAATGACTGAAAATGTGGTTGAGACCAGACTGAGCCCTTCAAAAAGTGGTCTTGAGACTGGTGTCAAGACCAAGACCAATCTCAAGCACTACAATACTGATACACATGCACAGTACATACTCATTAACCGAACCATTATTTCCATTTTTCATTCCAACCATTTTCTCTCTTGGTTTAGAGCTGTGAAGATATTGGTGCACTTCATTGGCTTGACTGGAGAGAGCAGAAACATTCGTCTGGTCCTGCAGAGTCTTTGTATCCAGCTGGCTGAAGCCTACAGTCCCCACACACAGCTGTCAGAGGTATTGTATCTCACCTGACTGAGCAGGATCCTGACGATACCAACCTAAACCACACATGTTTAACATGTGTTTGCCTGAGAACTGGTTGCAATTACTGCTGACATTAACAGTGTTGTGGCTCTGACTGATCTGATCTGAATCACATTACGTAGCATATATGTTGATTCATTGTCTAAAGGATTATTTGTCTCCTTTAGGGCCTCCCTCAGCTGATCAACGAGTTCCACTCTCTGTTGGGCCTGGTGGGAGCAGAGAGATCCCTGATGGTCCTGCTGGATGGGTTAGATGAACTGTCTGAGGAACATGATGCAGACCTCTCCTGGATCTCAACCCCTTTACCTCCAAACGTCCACCTCATCCTATCTGCAACCACTGACTCTCCCTGTACTCACACTCTGCAGGTAAGTAGAGCTCAACGGAAGTAGATGAAACTTTTAATTTCACTGAGGCAACAGAAAGGAGGATACAGCAAAGAAATAGAAATGTGACAAATAAAAAATGTACAATATTACCTCTACAGCTTCTTGTCTAGACTTTAATGCTTTAAATGTGGACTCTTAGTAGTTAACGCACTGTATTTCCTTTGTTTAATCCATAGACAAACAGAAATGTACAAACGAAAATTAGTTATGTTTTGGAACTCTTTCCAGGTGAACAACAACCTTGTGGAGTAATTGTGCTTAGTTGCCTGCTGTCTTGACAATGAGGTTGCCAGGTTTGATACTATTGTTCCTTTTTAGAGACCCATTGAACGGAACAGTGTCTGACAAAAAACCAAGGCAGTCACAAATATTGAAGTTCTGTTATCTGTCTTACTGGTTTGTCAATGGAGACTTCAGCTTTATACCTAATTCTGTGGACCTGTTAGCAATGGATGTGGCTGGCGTAGCTGAACCCACCAATTAGGAACAGTGCCCACATATATTTGACCATGTTGAGCATATTGTGTATTAAAGTGATACATGTAGCAATGTTTGATAAACAAAGTCAAGTAAATATGGGATTTATAGTTGACAGAGATTTTTCTCTCTCACCAACAGTCAGCCCATCCCACAGTCTTGTCCCTCCCTCCACTCAGTCCTGATGACATCACAGCAGCATTAGAGACCAAGCTGCGGACTGATCAGAGGTGTTTGCAGGAGCAGCAGTGGCAGCTGCTGGTCCAGGCTTGTCTGTCCTGTCCCTGCCCTCTTTACCTGGAGGCAGCTTATTCTGAGAGCAGGCTCTGGACCTCCTACTCTTCACAGGTCAGCCTCAGTCTTCCCGCCAGCCTGGAGGGCCTTTACTTTAGCCTGTTGGCTCGTCTGGAGAGAGAGCTGGGGAGGCAGCTGGTGAGACAGGCTGCATCTCTGATATCCATCTCACGTTGGGGTGTCACCGAAGAGGTGGGAAAAGCTACATTTCACTACAAACTGCACATACACAGCATACCATGTGTGTTGAGATCGACCTACAAGCAACAACTGGTTCAGCATCCCTTGTGTGCACAATGGAAATAAACTTGCAGATAGTTCAACCTTACTTGATGTGCTGCCCGTAGTGATCAGGGATTTCTATTACTCACTGTAAAATAACATTTGTCACCATTTTCATTGTGACCGTCATGCTCTGGAGGGGTGTGTAAAAACTTTTAAGGCTAATAAATTTTAGTCAGAGTTAGTCTCCACTGAAAAAGGCAGTGTGTGTCACATTATCAACCCCTTTAAAGTTTAAGATTTATTATAATTCTAAAGTCTGTTAATTTATCTTTATGCAATGAATGACACCCCAATAATGATAATATGTACTCATTGCTAAGGTTCACACTTAATTTAAATTTATGGAGGTTAGGTTTAGGCAAGTAAAGTTACTCTGCTTAGGTTTAGGAAAAGACGTACCTTAAAAATTACTCAAAGTTCACATGGTTCCAAACACCGGTTTCCTGAGGAAAGTTCTGGAGGAAAGTCCTGTGTTTTGTGAGCCATCCACCAACCCAGCCTGCCTCCTTATGTGGACCGCGTCCTTCTTTACTCCCGTCAGCACATTGGTCATGTGATCACAGCCTTCCTAAGTGTTTGGGTTAGCCTATATATGAATTACTGGCTTATGATTATGTAGAATATGTACAAATTTTGGTGCATTCGGTTGTACATTTCGGTGCAAAACGTAAGAACACTTCATGAGAACAGCCTGAGTCTGTAGTCAGTAATCAAATTAAAAATTAGTCCAACGGGACATGAAACTCCAGCAATGTGTGAATGTGCATGAATGTTTAACTGAGCAGCAAGTGGCACCTTGTACGGCAGCCTCAGTCAGCAGTGTGTGAGAGTGTGTGTGTGTGTGTGTGTGTGTGTGTGTGTGAATGAGGGAATGTGACGTAGTGTTAAAGCGCTTTAAGTGGTTGGAAAACTAGAAAAGTGCTATATAAGTGCAGGTCCATTTACTGACTGAATGATATTAGTACTACCAAGCAGCCATTCACAATAAATCAATCTGTGCCAAATTTGCTACTTAAGTGTGTATCTGGTTTAGACAAGGCGTATGTGCAGTGAAGTGCTCTGAGCTTGTAAGCCAGTCACAGATCTCCTAGGCCGCTCTATCGACTTTTTCTTTGCTATATTATTTTAGTCATTGTCCACCTAGTATTACTGCTGGAGTAGCTGACAGAGAGACAGAAGCTTGGCTCAGTGTGTGATTAGAAAAGAACAGAGGAGCAGAATTTCATTTTAGTCTACTATGTTACCCCTGCAGCTTGTTCAAAAGATACATTTTTGTCATTACAGAGAAAGTAAAGTGCTGAAAAAAGGTACCATTAGGCACCAGTACCAAATTCCAGATATCAGCAACCCCACCATCTTCCCAGTACTTCCTGCCCGGTCCTGTATTTGGTCACTTAAATGCAACAAATCATTTTGTCTAAGGCAGTCACATCAGTATGAAAGTAGCTTCCAGCGTAAAAGCTTGTATGTTCAACAGAATCAATTTGAAATATGATCCAGTCCATGTTTATGTCCATGACCAGGAGTTACTGGAACTATTGGCCCGAGATGAGAAGGTGCTCCAGGAAGTGACCTCATGTCACTCCTCTCCCAGCCACTCCAGGGTGCCTTATGTGTTGTGGGCTCGGCTGAAGCATGACCTCGGTCAACACCTAACTGAGGTCAGGACAGATAGGACATGGGTGTACCGCTGGACGCACTGTGAGCTGGGCGATGTGTGCATTAAGCACTATCTAAAAACAGATGATTCTCGTATGGCTGTGCACGCAGACTACGCTGACTACTACAGAGACAAGTCACAACATGCACACATATTTCAGCCACTGGCATGGACGCTGGATGAGGAAGAGGATTGTGAAGGTATGACAAAAAGTTACAGGTTCAACCTGAGAAAGCTTCACGGGTTACCCTACCACCTGGTCCGCTCCAGCCAAATCCTGTCCTTCCTGTCTGAATGTATTTTCAACTATGAGTTCCTGTTACATAAGGCCTGGGGTCTGTCTGTCCTGGACATCGAGGAGGACCTGAAGAAGGCTGTGCTGCCAGACAAGTAGGTCCTATCAAAGGACAGACAAAAGGCTGTCCTGTTGTCTCTAACTGCATACAGTATAACATTGATGACAATCACAGCAGCTGTCCAAAGCAAGGAGATCCTCGCTTTGAGTTTTGACTTTGGTTAAGTTTCATTTTCCTGATAGCAACAGTTTATCCTCCGGTTAAAAATAGATATCCAGTAATTAGAAGAAATTAAATCATAGGGTGCATCAGAATACTTTAACATTATGTCCTTATTCTTTAACACAGATTGACCACTAGTGGTATTCCACTGATTGACAGTCAGTGGTGGTAACAAATGTTTGTAAATGGCAAACTTCGTGGCAATTCATTCAATAGTTGACACATTTCAATCTGACCATGAACATTTGAAAGCGCACAAAGTCCCAGTCTGACAAATGGAAACATGTTTTAAAAGGCAGGCTGTCCAAATGGAATTCCTGACCACTCCATTCAAAAGAATGTCAAATGTCAAAATTTGGCATATTAAAATCTGGCATTTATAATACCTTTGAATAGAGTTTCTAAATGTCACAGTGACACATGGGAACATTTTTGACATGGTGGGCAATCCAAATTAGTCAGCATTCAAGAGGAGCTGCATATTTCAGTTTTATAAAAAGAAGTCCATATAGTCAAATGTTTACAGTACTGTTTCTGTACATTATTACAGTCAGTATAGGTAACACAGAAGATATATACAATCAGCACAGTTTCAAGGTGGACCCCAAAGATTAGAGTCATCAGTTCAGTGTCTGACCAAATGTCTTCCCTTCTCTTCCTGAGATATGCCGTTGAGTAAAAAAAAAAAAAAAAAAGTGATATATGCAGAGTACTGTGATGTCACGGTGAAGTTGACCTTTTGCATATAAAATCGTCACTTCATCATGTTATCCTATTAGACAGTTGTGTGAAGTTTTGTCCTAATGAGTATAAGAATTCTTGAGTTGTGGCCCAAAATATATATTGTGAGGTCACAGTGACCTTTGACCAGTAAATTCTAATCAGTTATTTCATTAGTCCAAGGGGACATTCGTACCAAGTTTTAAGAAATTCTCTTCAGATGTTCATGAGATATTGCATTCTCAAGAATGAGATGGATGCAAGGTCACGCTTACCTTGTCCTTTGACCACCAAAATCTTATCAGTTCATTGTCGAGTCCAAATAAACATTTGTTCCAACTTTGAAGAAATTCCTTTAAGTCGTTCTTGAGATATTGCATTCACAAGAATGAGACAGGCAAGGTCACGGTAACCTTGACTTGACCTATGATGACCAAAACCTAATCAGTTCATCTTTGAGTCCATGTGAACATTTGTTCCAAATTTGAGGAAATTCCTTAACGGCATTTTTGAGATATTACATTCACAAGGATGGGATGTACATACATATGGATGGACAACCTGAAAACATTATGCCTCTGGCCATGGCTAATACCAGTGCGGGGTTATAAAAATTACCTCATACAGTGGCATGATTGACCGTTTCAGAGAGTTCCAACAATTGTCATACACTGCCTCTACACAATTCTGTCTTTGGAAAGGAGACATTCGATGATGTTAGACAGTGTGACACTTTGTTACTGAGGCGATGGGGTCTCCACTAGAGTGTTTTGGTGCAGTTCCACCCTTTCTTTTGAGGAATCTTTGGATCTCTAATTTTGTTTATTCTGATCCCCCTTTTTTTTCAAAGCTATCTGAACAAATACCTCTGACGGGAGCTAACATTCAGCTTGTAGTATTTGTGATTCCTATCTTTATACCCCAGTCTGGCTTTCTTCTGCCTCCTGTCAGCCCTCTTTTAGTTTATCTATGTAAACACGTGTATCCCCCCCACCTCCTAGGGTGCTGGTGGATGTGGAAGTGTTGTCGGGTGCTCTGGAGATGTCCAGAGAGGTGCTGCTGCAGGACCCCTGTCAGCTGGCCTCCCAGCTTATGGGTCGACTGGGACAAATGGTTATTGAGGACCGTCCTGTTGCTAAAGGTAGACTGTAATTTGTAAATGGTGTATATCAGTATTTATTTACCGTATATATCAAATATCATATATTTCAGGTGAGAGGTGGAATCTAGGGAGTTGTATAAATCTGAATGAGGATTTTAGACCCATATATGTTTTAATTTAAAGAAAAAAATACATAGGCAGTTCAAAATGAGTTTATTATATAGCAATTTAAAACAATTTACCAAGCACAATACAAAAAGAAATAAAAAATTTAAAAAAAAATTGCAAAGATCAGAGTGAAAGGCAATATAGGTACAATAAGATAGAATAAAATGTAAATTTCAAAAGTATTATTGCAATAAATGCACAGAGAAAAGAAAAGGCGAGATGGATGGTAATGTTAAAACTGAAGGAGAAGTAGATGGAGCAGTCATCTGCATAGAACTGGACACTGATTACCCAAAGGTAACATGTAGATAGAGAATAGTGGAAGAGCAAGGACTGGTTCCTGAGGTAGTTATGAGTACATTGATTTGAGGAGGATTTACAGCTGCCTATGGTCACTTTAAGGTCCTTTCAGAGAGATAAGACATATTAGCAAACATAAAATCTATGGTTTTCTTTGGAAAATAGACAGTATTGTAGGTTACACATGGTTTTGTATCAGTAACTCCAGAGAATATGTTGTGCTCGATTATTTGGTGAATATTTTCTGATCTCTAAGCTGTGTGACTGACCCAGGTGACCCACTGAAGTTCAGCTACCTCCATTCTATACTGGCTCAGTGCACCCAGTCCTCCCTGCCTGTGTTGCTGCCCTCCTCCACCTGCTTGCTCCCCCCAGGAGGCCTTCAACACACCCTGCTTGCAGGTAACACATTGCATATACTACCCTGCTTTTGTTCAGGAGTGGGGAGTTTTTCCTTATCTGAAGCAAGGGTCAAAGGGCAGAGGGTGTTGTATGCTGTACAGATTGTAGGGATGTAATGGTACAAAGACGTCACTGTTCGGCCACACTTTGGTTTCGGTGTCACGGTTCAGTGTGAATTTGGCACACCATGAAAAAAACACAAATGTTTAAGGATACATTCTTTTCATTTACTTTAAACAGATAGGGTGCAAGTGTCACAGACAGACACAGTCACCTCAGTGGGGACTGAAGTAGCAATCTGACCACTGGCAACTTCAGTAAACTCATTATGAAAATAATAAACATTTTAACAGTTTCTGTATTACACTGTACTGAACAAAGACTTTCCCAAAAGGTAACAGGTCATAACAGACTGTAAAACTGAGAAGCACCTCTTCTGTTATGAAAGTGAAAATACAAAATAAAAAAATAATAAAATATTAACTTGTGCACTTGTGTTTTAATTCATTCCACCTTGGTTGTATGCCAGTTTAAATGCCAATAGTTTTATTCATTGTTTTTACCCTGTTCTGCTTTGTCGTCTAAAGGGTGCATGAAAGCAGCAGGGAGAAGGAGTTGGGAGTTTGTTTTTTTTCTTGTCCCAGTGATTGGCACATCTGAGTGATGCTGTCGAATGAGCTACACTAATGTCACCCATTGGTTTGTGGATTCCAGTTTTGAAGCCCTGAGTTTGACATTTTGGCCATTGCCATCTTGTTTTTATGGAGTCAGAAGTGACCATATTTGGAAGAAAGGGTGGAGTTGTGGAGGAATGACGGGTGGATCTAATTGAGAACCTGAGACAGCCTGTTTCTCAAAAAGTCTTAATTGTCCAGGGAGTGAACTTTTATAAAACTCACCCATCAAAATTTTATTGGCATGAAATTAGCTATAGAAACCAAAACCATTCCTCCAGGCTGTAAACATGTTTATTCCTGCTGTAAAGTTGGGCATTTTAATACTGGGGTCTACGGGGATTGACTTGCTCTGGGAGCCAGACTCAAGTGGCCATTAGAGGAACTGCTGTTTTTGGCACTTCGGTATTGGCTTTATTTTTCAGTCCTGTTAGTTGCCTCTTGGTTTCCATTCACAGACCCTACAATGGTGGAGCAATGCCAACACATTGTCATCATTCTATACACAAATATCTCTTTCCAGTGCTGTTGTAGGTAACCTGGAACCCGCAGGTGGGTCTTCCAGAAGTACTACATAGTGTATATGTTCCTATATTTTTCATATGCACGTTAGTAGAAACGTAACTGCATGCTAATCAAATTGATTGATGGTGTGTTCACTAACCAGGTCATTTGACCAATGTGACTGCCTTGGGAGGGGCGCAGAGAGGACCCTTTGCTGTCACCAGTGAATCAGATGGCAGCCTGAGGTTTTGGGATCTGGAGCAGAGGCGGATCATCAGGAGCCTGGACCCGGTGGGGGGAGTCGTGGGAGATTCAATCACCCTGGGTCTGGATGATAGGATGCTTATAATCTGCATGGGACAAAGTCTGCAGGTTAGAGTTCAGCTAAATTTTGTTTCACTGCTTGGTTTGAAAAGGAATTTTATTTTTTCTGCTTTATCTCAGTAAGGAAGCTTGTAACTATTATAATGTTACGGATATTTCAAAGTATGGTAAAAACAACTTGTACAAAACGCAGGAGTTTAAAAACATAAAGACTGTTGTTGCAGGATACTGATATATAACTTGACTGTATTTCAGGTGAGAGAAGTTGAATCTGGGCGAGTTGTGTATTCAGAAAGTGACTCAGTGGATGTTCCCATAGTCACCACGACTTGTGAAGGACAGCTGCTGGTGATCTTCTATGATGGAAGTCATCGAGTCAAGGTGCACAGCAGCAAACAGCAGGCAGACACAGTCAGACACTAGCTGGTGAACAAAGTGGAGCATTTAGCAGTTAAAGAGACAGATATTTTTCTCACAAGTTGGTGGAGACCAAAAATAGAGCCAAAAGAGAGTGAATACTGGACTTACATTCATCAGGTGGACACAAAAAAATAATAACAGTCAGTGAAGCCTGAATATTTGTTCCACTGAATAATTGTTAGAAACCTTACAAAGAGAGTCTTGCATGTTCCAGAAATTAATAAAAGGTTTATATCAATCATGTCTGAGCTAAGTGTGTTTTTCGTGTGTTCCTGTAGGTTTTTGACCTGGCTTCCTCCTGTTCTCTGCTGCACTGCACTGCCATTTCTATGGAGCATGAGGCAATCCACAAAGACCGCTCTATTCTGCTGTCCAACAGCTCCATCAGAGACTACGTCCTCTTTGCCTACAGGTCAGACAGCATGAGTTTAGACCCATGTCAGGTCCAGACCATGGCAGTGCCTTTTGGGATATGTTGGATATTTTGAAGGTGCCTTGTGATGATAATCAGCACTTTGACAGCACTTTGACATTCACTTATCCTAAAGGCCCCATACTACCCCATATCATTTTACAGTTAAAGCAGGTATAGGTGCTATATAAAGACTGTGAAAGTATCAAAGCGCTCCCTGTTCAGACGCTACATCTTTAAACAAGCCTTCAGGACTTCCATGAAGTTGTGATGTCACAACCATACTACATAAAGATAGAAAGTGCAGCTACAGTGCTGTTACATTCTTTACCCCAGCTGCAGCCTGGATGCAGAGATGCCGAGAGCACAGATGTGGAAGACCTGGAAACAGTGACCAATCAGAGCAGACTGAGCTTTTTTGGGAGGGAGCGTTTAAAGAGACGGACACTACAACAGGGCATCTCAGACAGAGGGTGAATACAAGTATATTCAGGTAGACATTTTGAGAAAAACAAAGTGTTTTCTGAACATTAAAGTATGTAAACATGGTCTAGTAGAACCCCAAATACAAGTATGAACCTGAAAATGTGCATAATATAGGACCTTTAACATAGCAATTAGCAAGTTGAAATGAAAAAGTTCGTCCTGCCTTTGCGTTTGTATTGGAAATATTAGAGCTGGTGGAACAACTGCTTGCTGTTTGAAGGCAAAAAAAGCAGCCCGATGTAAAGTTTATGCCCCCCAAAATACATTCTTTTTTTGGGAACATTGTCCTGTTAATGCCTCAGTTTTGACTGATGCTGTCTCTTTTTATCAGAATAAAAAAATGCACATTACGTAAAGGACCCAACAGAGAACGTTTTTGCCTACCTTTCGCTTATTCCTTTTTGTTTTGTGTCCAAGTCTCTCTAAGGGAGTAGTCTCATAAAAATCTGACGAGAGGTGACTTATTGCAGAAAGAAAATGGTGGAAACACCAGTAGGAGTTGGAGAGCGGAGTGCTGGGACGAGTTTGTTGTGTACAGAAAGTACAGAAACTGTATATTACTCTTATCTAAAATATTTTCCTTGTCATGGCTGAATATTAAGCTGACTTTAAAATTGTGAAAAAGCCACCAAGATTTCAGAAGGGGACTTCTCGTTCGCAAGACTTGGTCACAAAACAGACCAGAAGAAGCAAAAGCTACGGAAAAATGTTTCATTTCTCTGTAGAGATCCTTTCTGTGATGTTGTCAGATGCTTAAAATAACAATCTGAGCCCATCAGTGCCAAAAACAAGCACTATTAATAGACATAAGTGACAAGTCACACCTGCCAAGTCAGGTTGCAGTAGATTTTAAGTCCTGAGTGTCTGTAGAAAATCCAATCAGACCAGAGGGTCTGGATAGGCCTGGCCTGAGAGGCAAAACACTTGGGAAAAAACAAAAACACAACATGCTGTGTACAATGGCACAGTGATAATCTGCAAACTGCAGACTGGACTGTAAGAGGACACTGTCCAGAGACATTTTAGCTAATTGCACTAATTGTAACTGTGAGACTGTAACAGTCTTTAGTGTAACTGATTGTTAAAACCCTGATTATTAAAACCCTGTTTGGACAGCAGACCAGATCCCATCAGGTCACTATGAATGCCAAATGATGGTGACCTCAGCAGCATCACATTCACAATGCATGAGACACAAGTGTCACTGCGAGTGACCTTGTTCTTAAGTAAGATCACATATCCCTTTGTTAACAAGCTGTGAAATCAGGCCTCCACAGTCTCCAGACAAATGTCACCACTGGCTTTGGAAACAGTTGTGAATTATTAAGATCGGCCACGACTCGTGTGCCTCCTCGGTGTAACGCAGCACGGAGATGACGCTTTCCTGTCACATAAATGAATGACACTGATGCTGATGGCCAGAGGATAACAGCAAGATAATAAAGGTTTCCACTGAGTTTTTTCTACATTCTGTTATTATCTAATTAAAACTGAATCAAAAGCAGTGGCATGGCTGCTTCAGAGTAATTAGCACAGAAGCCATACCTTCACTCCTGACAGGAGGAGGTGTCAGGTGAACAACAAAGTAGGTCACTGGTGGTTAATGGTAATACAAGATGACAGGGATGGTAATAATATGAGCATCAGCTCATTTGCTGTTAGCTCTCTACAGTGTGTCAGAGTTAAATGAGAGCTCTTATAGTGATAAAGCCTGAATCTTCATAAGAAGAGGCAGATGAGATGCTTTGTAGCAGATGACTTGCAGTGTTCCGATTATTTATTTTTTACAGGAGTCTCTTCACTTAGATGAGCTGCAGGAAATTCTGGCTTTTTTTAATCTGGATCTTGCTTTGCTACCATGTTGACATTCAGGGCCCAGTAAAACAGTGTATTTCAGGACAAGCAGCACAAGCCTTCCAAATATATTTGCATTTACATAGATCATTGTAAAGGCTTGTCTCTGAGTCTCTGAGAGTTGCTTTTCGGGAACTGCCAGAAGCTGTTTTGAGTATTCAGCCAGAAATTAATATCTGTCTGTCTGTCTGTGGAAAGATTTTGTCCCAGTGATAGCATCATGATCAGGATGCAGACATGAAACTTTACAGGTACGTAGTTGAGATCAAAAGGCAGGTCGAGTTCGAAGATGGGTGTGGTCTGAGGATGAGGGTGAAAGTAGGTGGGTAGAAAGTAGAACTTTACACCCCTGGGCAACATTCATTTCAAAGGTCTAGTGTGTAGGATTTAGTGGCAACTAGTGGTGAGGTTGCAGATTGCAGCCAACTAAAACTTCACCAGTGTGCCAAGCATGTTGGAGAACTACAACGGCCAATGCAAGAAGGCAAAGACACAAATGGCCCTATCTAGAGGCAGTGTCTGGTTTGTCCATTCCTGGCTACTGTAGAAACATGGCAGTGCAGCATGGCAATCTCTGTGGAAGAGGACCTGCTCCAGATATAAACAGCTAACTTTGACAGAACAAAACCGCAAGAGTTCTTATTTTCAGATGATTATAAACTAATAAAAACGTAGTTGTGAATATTATATTCCATTTCTGCCCATATATATCCCTAAATTCTGCATGCTGAAACTTTAAGTCGCTGCAGATGTGACCCTATCGCAAGATGGTTTCTAGTTTGTTCTGCATTTACAGCAAGAAAACAAAATAGAATGTAACTAAATGCACAATTTGTGATCCAAACATCAAGACGTAGGTCACATGGAGTCGCAATCAGTCAGAACTTGGTGATAGTTATTGAGTCTAGTAAACATTTAAATGTTGAAAAAGATCTGTCTCTTAGAAACAAATTGTATCTAAATAATAAAAAACAACCTTTTTAAATTCAGTTTCTCTCAGGGGTTTTGCTGCTTTGGCCTTACTTGGTCTGGTATGACCAGTCGTATATGATGGCTAATGTTAGCAAACTGTAGGTAGAGATTTCTGTGTAACTGCCATTAATGACACTGAGGTTTGTTAACACCAGATCCCAATGTTTGAAATTACGTAATGAAATATGTACGACCACTGACCCATGTTACAACATACAACAAAAGTAAATAGCTTCTCATACATGATAAAAAGTGAAACAAGTATACATCACCATGTATATTTTTCTACAGAACATCTCAGAACATCATATAATTAAATACTTACATAATATAAAGATACCTAAAATAAATACATAAGAGAGTAGTCACTGTCAAATGCCAATTTGTGTTTTAGATGTTATTTAGAAAAGGGACACCATTTTCGACATGTCAGTTGGGGGTGAAGATCAACATTTTAAAATCAGACACTTGGGATACATCTGGTCTGGTTTCAATTAAACATGTTACCACTGTGTTCTTATTTGTAAATGCTGGTGATGCTGTAAATACATGTGAATGTTACATCCTTTTTCAGTTATTTAAGTTGTGCTCTGTGTTTAAGGTCTGGTTCTGAGGCTGCAGTATTCAGTGCCAGAGGGGGCGCTGTGCTGTCTGTCCTGTCTGCGCAGCATGGTGCTGCCTCAATACAAGCTGTGGAGATGACTGAAGACTACCTGCTGCTCTTCTGCAGGTACACTAACACCAGAAACAAACTGCAGGGTGAACACAGGTCAATACCTGTATTTGTTGTAATGTCCAGCACCTGTCTGTGAGATGTCATTAGAGACGTGTTTATGTCCCTGGACTTTAATTTGACAATGTGTGACTCCTCACGCTTTGTACTTTGTGTCAGATACCCATACAAGAGAGGCAGTGAAATCATCCACATCGAACTCTTCAGCACTGTGTCCTTCCTCTACCTGCGGTCTATACTGGGCTGCAGCCAGGACTGCATTTCCCAGGTCTCTGGCAACCAGGCGGGGACTCATGTCGTGGCCTTTTGCCCCTCCCCTCATACCGGCATCACTGAGCTGGTCACCTGGAACCTGGAGACAGAGGACCACAAACATATCACTCGCTTCCCTGCAGTACTGACCAAAGGTTAGTCTTTACAGGGCAGCAATGCAGATACCCAGAGGGGTTTTAGGGTTTTCCATACTGAGCAGAATGTTTTATTATCCTTTTGTGAAGTCCCTCTCTTAAACAGCCATTGTCCAGTCATAACTCAGCAACTGTGATTATGCACATCAAGTCTGTCAAGGTTTGATTCCTCAACATGCCTCAAAATACACACAGGGTGCACTACTACCTGAACTGATTATATAAAATAGTGGATGTAGTCACTGTGATGTCACTCATTGGTTGAGTTTTGCATTTTGGCCATCACGATCTTGGATTTTTGTAGCCAGAAGTGAACATATTTGGGCATTTGGCTGCCACCTTGGTTAGCACAGCTATGGTTCACTGTGATAATAATAATGCTAGTAGTAATTTTTGCTAATGAAAAGCAGGCTTAAAGCCATTAAAACACTTACCAGAAAAAAAACAACTCCATAGAGAGTCTTTAGCCAATGTGGCAGCGACTTGTTAATGGACAGCACCCACCTGTCACAAAAAGCGGCCACACCTTTGATTGTGCCTAATTAAGAACATATAAATGAGAGAGTTTCTGAAAATTCACAGTTGTCATAAATGTTGAAATTAGTAATAGAGACCAAAACGTTTTTTTGTACCAGGCTGTAAACATGTTTATGAGCCAACAGCCTCGAGTGGCCATTAGAGGAACAGCAGTTTTTTGGCTCCTCTGCGCTGGCTTTATTGTTCAGCCTCAGAGGTTGCCACTTCGTAAGAGCGATACCCAATATTTAAAAAACTTGCAGACTTGTGTCTTTTTTATCAATGTTCCAAAACTGAAAAAACACGATAATACACTTTTTATACAAAGTGTAAAGAATGGATTCAGCAGTTGTTGTCTGCTGCTAACTTTAGTATGACCTGATAATAGCTTACTAGCCTATGTTAATAACTATTTGAAGGCCAAGAGTTACAGGTTTATAGCAAACATAGAGAAAGCCTAATTTCTGAGGCACAACCATTGCACCATGCTACACTACAGCTTGTTGTGTAAGTACAACAGCATATAACATATGGTCAGCTGTGCACCAGAACATTTCAGCCTTCATAGGTCAGTGCAACTATGTTAACTAGGACATTTTCCTTTTCATCCAGGCCTGTGCTTTGATCTGCGTCTCTGCCTGGGGATCTGCAGTGGGGAAAAGTACCTTCGCCTGTGGGATCTGACCTCCAGGATCAATGACCAGGCTCTGACCTATAACATCCATAAGCCCAGGAGTGAGGGCACAGAGGAGATCATCCCGATGGGGAAAACCCCGAGGTGGGTACTGTAATGTAGTACTGACAGCTGTCACATTTTTGTGTTCATCTCATGATGCTTCTTATCCTGAAGAGGCAGATATTAGTCAATGTAATCAACTTCTGTTATAGTGTTTTTTTGATCCAGTGTTTATCCATAGGCTGAACAGATTCATTCAACACAATTTGAGGAGATGCTGCACATATACTGTATTTCCATGATGGTGATGGACTATCAATATTAATATCCTGAGTTTGATTCATCTCAAAAAACATTCACAGTATTTATTGATAACCCACATTAGACAAGTGACTTCACATCCTTTTTTTGTCCTCTTTGTAGACCAGTTTTTTTGCATATACTTGCATATAAATATCACCTCTTTGCTGCGATTGGCTGACCTAACCACAGCCCACCCACGGACCAATCAGATCACTGGGAAAATGGTGCAAAGTTTAGTTAACAGGAGCAAAAATACTGATTAACAGTAAAGTGACAAGTACCACTGAGACATTTTGAATGTAATGTAATGGCCATCTTGACAATTATAGATAGAAGATAGATATTTTTTATTTTTTTTGCAAAACCACAGGTCCACTCTGGGTTTGAAACAGAACTTTAAATAACTAATGATACTACATACATAAACATACTACACTAACAGACTCATGAGAGTTTATTATAGCTGCATGTAAATTGCTTATGCTGTTGAGCACACATTTAATTAAATTAGCATATTATAAAAGCAACATTTTCAGTCTGGTAGACCTGATTCAGTATTCTTTTTTTGTTTTTGTAGCGTTCTTAATCATTTCATCACTTTTTAAATCTACTGTAGTTGTGTGTATATGAAATGTATTTAAATCATTAGGGTAACTTAAATATTCTTTCAGCCTGGACCCTACTGTCCCATGTTTTTGTGTCTAGGTGACTAATAACAACAAGTTTAGAAATGAGCCCAGTGTTAAGGGACCATTGTCACCTCACAGCAGGAGGGCTCCTGGTTTAAACCCAGAGTGAGGAGCCCCTCTGCATGTTCGCCCCATGTCAGTGTGGGTTTTCTCTGGGTGCTCCAGCTTCCTCCCACAGTCCAAAAATTGTTAATTCCAAATTGGCCGTAGGTGTGAATTTCAGTGTTGAATGGTTGTCTGTCTGTATGTGTCAGCCTGGTGATAGTCTGGCGACCTGTCCAGGGTGTTCCCTGCCTCTTGCCCTGTGTCATTTGGGATAGGCTCCAGTCCTTGCACCACCCCAAACAGGATAAGCACTTATGGAAAATGAATGAATGAATTAATTTATGTTCATTAAAAGTTCCTGTTTTTGCCACTGACAGGCTCAGATTGTTTTTCTAAGTGTCTGACAACATTATGAAAATGATCCTTACAGTGATAGACCTTTTTGTCAGAGTGAGATCCTTCTGACTGTAAAAAACTTCTGACTGTATTTAAAAAATGCAGGTTGCATTGTCTACCATTATATATTTCAATAAGTAAAACTGGTTATAAATAAAGTGTTTGTTTTAATATTATAATGCATTAATTCTATACAAGTTAACATTGCTAATTCTCAGGTTATGTCCCAATGTAATGGGATGAGACAAAATGTGATGGGCAGTTAAATCAGGATGTAGTTACTACTGTTGTAATCTCAAAAAGACATTATCTTAATATTATCTTGTCATAATATTTTTCAGGACCCTATGAGACTAAATTACTGTTACACATAAAGTAGGGAATTTGAACTTTGTGTCGTCTTACAGACTTAAACCTTAGAACCTTATTTTGCAGACTTAAACACCCAGGTGCAGTACTTGATATTTTCAGGATACTTTTGGTAGTAGGAGCACGTTCCATTGAAACTGACTCAGTCCATATTTGTGTACTGGTATTATCTTCCTGTGATGGAGCCTGGCTCCCTCTGCTGGCAGGTATGCTGTGTGCCGCTCTGTGAGAGCTGGGACTGTGTATGTTTGGAATCTGACCAGACGGCATTTTGCCTGCCGACCAGTCAGAGTGGAGCACGGCCTCTACAGCAGCACTGATGTGGTGCTCACCCATGACTTCAAGCTTTACATCCTAACAGACAGAAGCATGGACGCCCCCTCACATCCATTCAAGGTCATTTCCTTTATATTCATCTGCTCATTTTCACCATATGTGTTCAACAGTTTATGGTCTACACTTTTGACCACATGTTTTCTCCTAGCTGAGTTATTAATTATTGAACTAACCATTATAGTAACATGTATGTGTTATGTATGACCTCCCAGACTCTCCTGGTGTATGATTTGATTAAGCGGAGCTATGTGAGGAGACAGACTGGGATCACAGTTATTCCCTGTCCTCAGCATGAGTACCGTCTTCTAGAGGATGGACAGACTCTTCTGGGTCTCTCAGACACCAGGTGACAGTTAATCTGTGAAATACACGTGTGGAAGGTCTGCAGATATAGGGATACTTCATAGTCAGTGGATGGTAAATGAACTTGCACACATTTATTTGTAAGGTTCTACACAGACTGTTTACATCAACAAGATGGTTGTAATAATCAGTGTTATTATGTTGCACAGTCAGTAGGCAGACTCAATGGACTTGCACTTGTATAGCACCTTTTAATCTCTGTCCACTCAAGGCACTTTTAAACTACAAAGTCTTACTCACCCATTCACACATATTCACACACTGGTGGCCAAGGCTACCATACAAGGTGTCAATTGCTACTTGACTGACCATTCACACGCACTTATACAGGTTCAGTGTTTGCCATGCAGTTGGTTAATTTAGACACCTACCTACATACGTTTATTCCTTACTCGGATTAAATTGAAATGCATATCGTTCACTTAACTTCCACAGCAGCTGGATTCTCACAAGATCACGCAAAAATTCATCATGTCTGGCTTCAAGTAATGTGTTAGTGTCCTAACCACCAGTGGTGTGGAGCAATCAGCATCCTGTGAAATGCTACTGGCAGCTATAAGTGTGGTTTAGGTGTGTGTGAAGAAGACTGTTTGTTCAAAGCAACACTAGAGTGCTGCATGGATGACATTGTTTCGGAGGCTGACCTGGAATTTAACATTACTCTGGTTCCCTCAACAAAAAGCCAATGGGAATTTTTTCATGGAAATCTGGATTATAGCAGGAAAATAAACTCTGTGGCAAACAAAAGTTTATGATTCTCACTTGTTTTGCAACAGTATCTAAACAAAGTACACCACAGTCACATGACTTCAATGTCGCCACCACCACAAGGCTGTTAAGCTGTGTTCAACATGATGACGTTCTGTAGTTTTATTTAGGTACCTGTTAAAAAGAAAAAAGGTGCTCGCACACTGTCCTTTAACTTGCAAAGTACTTTATTATCAGCAACATTTCAACGTTTCAAAGGTCCTCAGACCTTTGTCAAGCAGAGATCTCTGAGAAAGGTCTGAGGACCGAAACGTTGCTGATAATAAAGTACTTTGCAAGTTAAAGGACAGTGTGTGAGCACCTTTTTTCTTTTTGTCTGGACTCTATGCTCCTACACACCTGTCCACAAAAGTTTTTCAAGGTGTTCATCGGCCTTTACAGATTTTAGGTACCTGTTAGCAACTGCCTTTTTTAAGGGACATAAAAGCTTAAAATTTCACATGCGTGAACTTTGCAGAAACATACAATACCAACATTTCTTGTGCTGACTGGGCTGCATGAACCCATTTCAGCAGAACTCCAGTGTGTTTTCTGTGTGTTGGCTGTTGTTGCAGAGATCATCTGATCCTTTGGGATCTGGACTCTGGCTCTATAAAACATGAGATCAAACCATCCCACAGAGAGTCGCTCCTTTGCAGCAGCTCTGTCCAACACCTGCAGCCTGATGTGACACCACGCAGAGAGACAACATGTGAGCTGCCTGATCCTCTCTTTGTAAACATACAGTATTTGTCATCATTAGCTTTGTCATGAACTTACTGTAGTATTTCACTATTTTATAGTGTTTTTAAGTGTAATCTTTTCCAGCAAAGTACTTGGTTAAGGTAAAGGAAGACTTTAGTTTTAGATTTAGTTAAGCCTTTTTGGTCTGCTCTCTACCTTTGGATTTCTCTCCAGTTCTTTTTAACTTCAGCTGTAACATCCAGGTGATCTTCAAGTATTGCAAATAGGCTGTCAGTGAAAAGTGTGTTGCTCCTTCAGTGCTGAGGCGAGCATGGGCAACAAGGCTAGCTTAAGTGTGACATGCTTCTTGTCATCATTTGCTGATTATTGAGTGGACTTTACTCCTTAAACCTTCAGCTATCCAACTGCTGTATTTGCTGCATGCATCTTAATGCCCAGAAGGTAATCCCCTGACAAAAGTCTGTTCCGGATCATTTAAAGAAAGTGGAGAAAGTAAGGGAAGGGCGATAGTTTTGAGCAGTCAGGCCATGTGACCTCCCTGTCTGAATTTTTCAAATTCTGCACTCAGTGGCTTTAAAGTGGTGAACAGGGAGAATCGTCTACCCTTTCTCTAATGAAAAAAACTTTATGCTGTGCTGCTTTTAAAAAAGATATCTGGTCAGATGAGAGTACATGTCAGGTAGGCCTGTAGTTGTAAGTAACTCTGAGTTTTCTTACCTTGCCACAGTGATGCTGTGGGACATTCGAACAGAGAGCCAGTCTGCAAAGAAGAGGAGGCTGGAGAGAGAGGCACAGAGGGAGAGAGAGGCAAAAAGGAGGCTGGACAGAGAGAAATACAACTCTATACACCAATACCTCATCAGTGGAGGTGAACAGGTACTCAGCACAAGGACTGGATAACCCATCCAAATCTACATTGTTATCTGCAAAGAATATTGCCATGTTTTAGGCTGATAAAGCAGCTCTGTGTATTTACAGAATTCCACACACCATACGACAAAGTGTGGAACTGTTGTTGTATTTTTTTATTTGGGGGGGAACTAACTAACTAACAATAGAGTGATCACAGGAAATGTGAGGAGAGAGAGAGGAAACAACATGGCATTTCTGGTCACGCAGCTGTTGTCAAAATTATAACTTTGAGAATCAATGAACACTTTTTACGCCTCCGCGCGGGCAACAGCCATGGCTGGAGGCATTTTGTTTTCGGCTTGTCTGTCCATCTGTCGCCGAAGCCTTTAGGGAATTTCTTCAAATTTGGCACAAACGCCAAATGCATGTTCGAGCCATATCTAGCAAGTCCCAGTTTCCTATTATTTTTTGAGTGGCTTTAATGCTCCACCATCTTGGGAACCTTTAATTAAAGGCAGGTGTGCTGAACTGAGTGTGGAGCGCGGAAGACATCAGGTGGTTCAGGGGGTTTATAGTTACAGTTATTTTTTTTTTAACTTTTTTGGAAGCTGCAATAGTCCATAAATTTCACACAAATGTCTAATAGGATAAAATGATGACGTGATGACATTCTATATCCAAAAGGTCAAAGTTCAACTTCACTGTGACATCATAATCTTTTCTGGCCATTACTCAACACCATATCTCAGGAGCAGAAGAGGAGACATTTGGTCGGATACTGAAGTTGTGACACTAATCTTGGGTACCTACCTTAAACTGTGCTGATTGTATAGATCTTCTGTGCTGCTGTGGGGAAGATGTGTATGAAGCATCCACATTTCACCACAAAATACCTTTATGCTCTTTATTAAATTCCTTCAAAGTTTTCTCTACATATATTATATGAGTCTTGACAGACATGGATGTAAACTGCAACATGACTGGCTGGTTTATAATCCTAGCATGTATTTTGTACTTCCCTTCATTTAAGATCATGTTAATGACTTTATAAATTCAGTATTGTTTGCAATTAGGTCAGTTCAATACAGTTTATACACACTCACCAGCAACTTAATTCGGTACACCTTGTTAGTACCAGTTGGACCCCTTCAGTACTACCTTAATTCTTGGTGGTATAGGTTCAACAAGGTGCTGGACATATTCCTCAGAGATTTTAGTCCATATTTCTATCATGATAGCATCACACAATTGCTGCAGATTTGTTGGCTGCACATCCATGATGCAAATCTCCCGTTCCACCACATCCCAAAGGTGTTCTATTGGATTTAGATCTGGTGACTGTGGAGGCCACTGGAGTACAGTGAACTTGAATTGTCATGTTCAAGAAACCAGTTTGAGATGATTTGAGCTTTGTGACATGGTGCGTTATACTGGTGGAAGTAGCTATCAGAAGAAGGTTACACCGTGGTCATAAAGGACACGGTCAGCAACAATACTCAGGTAGGCTGTGGTGTTTAAATCATGCTCAGTTGGTACTGAGGGATCCCAAGTGTGCCAAGAAAAATATCCCCCACACCATTGCACCACCACCAGCACCCTGAACTGTTGATACAAGGCAGGATGGATCCATGCTTTCATGTTGTTTACGCCAAATTCTGACCCTACCATCTGAATGTTGCAGCAGAAATCCAGACTCATCAGACCAGGCAACATTTTTCCAATCTTGTATTGTTCAATTTTGGTGATCCCGTGTGAATTGTAGCCTCAGTTTCCTGTTGTTAGCTGACAGGAGTGGCACCTGGTGTGGTCTGCTGCTGCTGGAGCCAGTCTGCTTAAAGGTTCGACGCTTTGTTTGTTCAGAGATGGTCCTCTGTATACCTTGGTTGTAACCAGTGGTTATTTGAGTTACTGTTGCCTTTCTATCATCTTGAACCAGTCTGGCCATTCTCCTATGACCTCTGGCATCAACAAGGCATTTTTGCCCAGAGAACTGCCGCTCACTGGGTAATTTCTCTTTCTGGGACCATCCCCTGTAAACCCTAGAGATGGTTGTGTGTGAAAATCCCAGTAGATCAGCAGTTTCTGAAATACTCAGACCAGTCCGTCTGGCACCAACAACAATGCCATGTTTAAAGTCACTTAAACCACCTTTCTTCCCCATTCTGATAGCTTGGTTTGAAAACCAGCAGGTGGTCTTCACTATGTTTACATGGCTAAATGCATTGAGTTGCTGCCATGTGATTGGCTGATTAGCTATTTCCATTAAGGAGCAGTTGAACAGGTGTACCTAATTAAGTGGTCAGTGAGTGTATATGGTACATTTTCAAACAACATGTGTTGACCCAAAGTGCTTTGCAGTCAAGGCAGATAGGTTAGGGTCTACCTCAGTAGAGATGTACATTATTAAAGAAATGAAGGAGCACAAAAGGTATTAAACATAATGTACTACAATAAAACATTAACAGAAAAAATTCAATACTAGAAATAGAATCAAACCAACATTGCTGTTGTATTATTGACCTGTACATTCCACTCCATTGTTTTGTAGGTGGTGGTGTGCTCTTATTTTGCTCACCACCTCAACGTCTTCAGCATGGTTTCACAAGAACACCTCCACACACTGGAGGATAAACCATCACTGCTGAGCCTCCACACTGCAGCTATTACTTACACTGGCAGCCACCTGGTGCTGACCAGCTACAACCGAGAGCAGAGGACCCCCTACATCACACTGTGGGACCTGCACACAGGAACAGTGGGCTGTCACTGTTTGTTACAGTTTGCAATGCTCTTATATGTTCAGTTTTAAATACTTATTATTTGTGTTTCTCAGTTCTCTGATGACCAAAATAGGCAATTTGTGATTGACTTGTGGATGATTTGATTTCATGCTGCTCTCAGGTTATGCTTTGTACAAATTGTTTTAGGTGAGGAAGAGACTGAGCAGTGAGGGTGGAGTTTGCTGTGTAGCTATCACAGACAGTGCAGACAGAGTGGTCTTTGGGGCCACAGGAAGCAACAGGTAAGCGTTCAGCGCAGTGACATGGCCATGTTATTCACCACATCAACACTGCATCCTACCATTGTGAGTCACTGGTCTTGTTTAGTCCTGGATAGAGCTGCAGCTAGTAATCAAGTATTCTACCGATTATTCTGGCAATTAATCGAGTAATCAGAGAAGAAATACTATTTTTTCATGAAATTACATTAGCTTTATGTAAGGGCAATAGTAATATATAGAAGAATAAATAAGAAAGTCTCTGAAATGAGAGAAATTAGAAAAAAAAGTTTCCTTTTTGAAAATTCAACATTTTTATTGCTTTGATTGCAAAAACATTTGTTTGCAGTGTGCACTAACAGTTGTGACAGATCAAAGGATGCATCTGCAGATTGAAAAAAACAGAGTCCTGATGAACATTTCACAAGCTTAGCTTTTTCAGAATTTTCTGAATTCTGAATTGGCATCATTGCCATTGGCACTCTCATATCACATTCTGGGATTTAGGAGAAGAAAAACATTATTTGAAATTTAAAAGGGATAAAATTATCCATATAAACAGAACCCATTTAGCACATTTAAGTGCTATATTACACTCTTCTAGGTGTTAAAGTAAGTTTTCTGAACTGCAAAAACAAATAAAAAATACAGGAAGTGATTTAAAGTAACATGTTAAAAAAGTATACATCAACCTAAAACTGAGGCATAATTCTTAATATTGCCTTAAATTTGTAACTTCACAATCAGAACTAAGGTTTCAAGTCTTAGGCATAACGGAAGCCTTTACTGTCTTCTTAGAGGCTTTATAGTGTTAAGGGACAAACAAATGGACAGGAAGAGCTTTTTTCCATGAGGACCAGCCATACAGCTTTTTCTTCTGAGTGCTTTTACAAAGCCAACAAATTGTATCAATGTGCATTTCCTCTGGTGCTGCCCTGCCTCCGTCCTCCTGCAGATGACAACTAACATAAAACAGTCACAAATTTAGGAGTTGTTTTCAATCAACTTCAAACAGTACATCAATTTTCTTGTTCAGTCTTGCTATTTATACATCAGAAATATTGCCAGTGTTATCCAATGCTCCTCAAGCACATAGTTAACTTTGCTTGCAAGACTTCTAACAAGCTAGCTGAATGATAAAGGCTTCCTTTTTGTTTGACTTCTAGACTTTGAAATCACAGCACTACAGGTGCTCACCTTTACATTTCAGATCTTTTAACCCTTCATTCTGCACCAAGACTCCTCAGATCTGACATGAGAATGTTGTTAAAAGTTCCACAGTCCAGGTTTCTCCAGGAGCAAACACTACGCCTCAGAATTGTTAGCACACCAATCAGTATTGCACAGGTCAATATGTAGGGCCTTGAGGCATGTCCATATGCTCTGGAATAACAAATCCTAACAATATCAAGATAGGTAATTTGACAAATCACTATATGCCTCAGGGGACTTTACAGTCTGTGCAGCACACCACACCCTCTGTCCTTACACAGATATGGAAAACTGCCTAAAAAAATCCTAAATGGGAAAAAAATGGAAGAAACCTCAGAAGGGGCTACTGAGGAGAGATCCCTCTCCCTGGACAGGACAGACATGAGATAGAAGTCGTGTGTACAGAAAGACAGTCAATATGACAAAATGATGATAGAACACAGACATAAAACTTTTACAAGACAACAGACAGGAGGGGGAGGAAAAAAACAAAGACAAGTAATCTCAGCCGTCATGACGGCCTGGTTCATCATGTGCTCATACATGGGTGGACTGAGAGAAGCTGGAAAACCAGTGCAATCAAACCTAAGCTGTTACACAATGAAAGAAGGGGAAATGGAGCTTAATCTCAAGAAATGTGTCTTAGTATCGAGACAAAGTGTAATACCTTTTAGTTTATATTGTATTACATACAGGCCAGCCATTAGGAAATATAGGCAGGGGGGCATTTTCCACATGTATTTTGTTGTTTGTTTGTTTTTCTGGCAAGAAAATGCCCTCCAATGAATGATTAGAGAAAAGTAAAATCTAACACTGACTGAAGAAATGACTGCATGGTATTAAATTATAAGATCAAATCATGACTGGAAAAAATACTACTCTGATCAAATTTTGTTCAAATTGTGTGCAAAACTGAAATAGTGTTAAGAGTATATTGCTGTCAACTCTCCGTTTTCCAGTCATACCCAACATGTAATTGCAAGACTCTTTAGGGACTCCAGTATGCAGAACGGGTTTTTGAAAATGGCAATGCTCCTTTTTCCTTCGCCAAAATTTAGCATAACTTTGGAGCGTTATTTGGCCCGTTTTCCATCGGTACCAATGGATGCCTTAGGCCCTCTAGTTTAATATGATACCCATGTTTTCACTGTAGCTTTAAAACTGAGCCCGACACAGCAGGTTTTATTAGCTAATATTAGTCTGTCTCACTCCTCACCTTCAGCTCTGCCTGCCAAACCTGGTGCTTCTTCAGATTTTTTTCCTGTCAGACATTTGTCCATCGCCTCTCTGCTCCTTTCATTTTCCTGTTCTCTCTGTACCCTGACTTTTCCTTTAGGAGCCCTGAATATTTGGTGAGACATTCTGACTTAGCTAATCAGGCTACAGTCTGGACCCCACCATTTCAATTTTAATGAAAAAAATAAATTTATTTATCATGTAAATACATATAAATTGTATTGTCAGTGATATAAGCCAATAAGTAAATTGTTGTACTTGATCCAATGTAAAGGTCAACCGTAGACCTTTCCATGGGCCCCCCTTGGCCTTGGGCCAGGGTCATCTGTAACCTTTGACCCCCCTGATGGTGTGCCTGATTACATATTGCATAGTTTGATAAATACATTGGCATTTAATCAACAAATCTATTTTGGAGAGCAGGAGACAGACAAGGGCCCCCATTGTGTTCATCCAGCCCTGCTATCAGCCTTCACACTCTGTAACATTAACTTTTCACCTCACAGTCAAAACACCTGCTGTTGTCTGACATGATGTTGCTAATTAGGCTGCCATTGGGTTCCACTAGTATTGTGCTAACAAGAAAACCCTGTAGAGAATTCTGTCCCAAAATATCTGGATGTGAAAGTGCTTTCAGAGTTTAATATTTAGTGTTGTCAATGTTTGCTTTGACAGACTGAAGGTGTGGGACCCCTTCAGGGGAAAGTATAGGAGCATCAGTGGGTATGGGAACCTGACGATAGAAGTCTCCAGTAAGCTTTACGTTACAGAGGGAGGAAGCAGAGCCATCCTGCTGTCAGGTAGGAAACACAACTAGAAGTTATGAAAAGCTCATATAAAGGAGAGAAAATATTTATTAGGGCATTGTCTATATACTCTGGTGCTGGAAGCCAACTGTTTTCTCAAGGCCCTTTTACATTAAGATGCAATCTTACAGCAAGTTTTCACACTTTGAAGCAAGTGAAATCAGTGTAGTCCCAGGAGGATACAGGCTGGGTAAAAAGAGGCTAATATACATTTTAATTTTATGACCAACAGACCATTTCTGTGCTACAATGATAGTATCTCCAGTGTTTTCTGCCAGAAAACCCTGGATGGTCACTCTGGGTTGGAAATGAGTTGCTGCCCCAAGTAAAGGAGTTCAAGTGTCTCAGGGTCTTGTTCAAGAGTGACGGTAAAATGGACAAATGGACAGGTGGTTTGGTGCAGTGTCAGCAGTGATGTAGGAGTTACTGAACCATTGCAGTGAAGAGGGAGCTGTAGGCAAAGCTTGCGATATAGTGGTCCATCTACGTTCCAACCCTCACCTGTGGGACTATGTGTAGTGACCAAAAGAATGAGCGGCCAAAATGAGTTTCCTTTGTGGGGTGGCTGGGCTCAGCCATAAGCCCCTTTTACACTGCCAGATTTTCTGCAAATGTTGGGCCGCTTTGCCGGCCAGCTGCGAGTGTTTAGACTCACAGAGCCGGATTGGCAAGTTGAGCCGAGGTGCCCAATTTTCCGCCTCGTAGGGTAGACATATTGGCGGAACCCTTTTAGTTTGAAAAGACTGAGGCGGCCTTCCACAACGGGAGGGGCTGTTGAAGACTTATGGGAGGAGCTGTTGATGACGCCGCATGTGCAACCCACTGGCGGTGGATAAATAGGAAACAGCTGATAGCAGGAATTAGCGAGCAGCTAGTAGCAAGAGGGAAACGCAAACCTGACAGACACTGTAAAGATGAGCAACTGGGGAGACAAGGAATTGCGCGCCCTCCTTGCCCTCGCAAACGAAGAAGCCATTAACTGTCAGATGACAGGAATGGTGAAGAACAGGCTGACTTACAAAGAATTGCCGAAGGACTGACCAGCCACGGCTTCCCTCCCACGTCACTGTTTACATCACACGCTGAGCTACATGTTTTGTTACTTGCTCACGCCCCCCATTGCCCCAAAAAAGGCACATTCTGTATAAACAAACGTAGGTAGGCGGCATTTTGCCGCACTCCCCAATTTTGTTTTTATACTGCCAATGGTGAAAGAAGACTGATTGGGCTTTCCTGCTAATTTGCACAATTCCTGTTTTAAAAGGGCTATAGAGCAGAGATGGGGACTTGAGTCATTGTGACTTGGACTCGAGTCGACTCGAGTCGCTGTTTTGATGACTTGTGACTTGACTTGACAAAAAATAAAAGACTTGAGACCTGACTCGGACTTGGAAGTTAAAGACTCTAGACTTGACTTGACTTGAGACACGATGACTTGAATGACTTGAGTGTTATTCACATCATGTTTTCAATTTGAATATAAAATTAATAAATTAATTTAAAAAATAATGTCGATTACCTGGTAGGAGTGCAGGCTGAGAATGGCTTTGTCATGATCATCTTTGGCTTTCGGAATTACCATTATGACGGCAAAAGACGAACAGCACAGTGCAAGACATGCGGCATAAACATCTCGGACAGCCAGACGACAACTTCAAACTTTGTTTGCCATTCTGCCCAGTAAGTGCTTGTCAATTAGCTAATATTATCTGGTTCGTCGGTAGTTAGCTATCGTTAGCTGGATACGATACAGGGGTGGGGGGTCGGTTGTTTTTTAATTTATTTGCTAAAATTAACCCCAGAAAACCTGAGCGAACATTCCGACCAGTTCATCACAAGACAGCCTGTACGTTAACGAGCAACACAGGGTTAAATGAGCTAAATGGGTGATTTTGGCCGCTGCCTCGGTTAGTGTGTGTGTGTGTGTGTGTGTGTGTGTGTGTGTGCGCGCGTGTGACAGTTACTTATATCTTGTCTTTTCACTTTATTAAGATCAGATTCTGCAGGTAAAATTACAATAATAAGGTGACTTGACTTGGACTTGGACTTGACTTGACCTATTACAGGACTTGACTTGACTTGACTTGACTTGACTTGACTTGACTTGACATAACCTGTGACTTGACTTGACTTGCCCAAGAAAAAATGACTTGGGACTTACTTGAGACTTGAAGGTTAAGACTTGAGACTTACTTGAGACTTGCACATGTGTGACTTGGTACCATCTCTGCTATAGAGACATAGAGATAGGGTAAGGAGTTCAGACATCCAGGAGGAGCTCAGAGTAGAGCCGCTGCTCCTCCTCCAGTTGAGGTGGTTCAACATCTGATCAGAATCCTCCTGGGCGCCTCCTGTTAGAGGTTTCCAGGCACGTCCAACTGGTAGGATAGACCCCAATACACTAGCCCATTCTCATTCCTGGGATGGCATATGCAGTCGCTGTGTCACGACCCCTCTATGTGATACCAATGCTGGAGGCAACCTTTGGTGTCTATGGGAGATGAGATATAAGACACACTGGGCTTTCAGCTAACTAAATTGAATTAAATTGAAAATGTCTGTAGCAATATTTGACATTAAATACCAATATACACCTGCCCCGAACACATCACATCAAAATATATGCCCCTATTATTTTCTAAGTAAAACCCTGCACCAGTTGCAGCGTACACGTATCAGCTTTCATGGATGCACCGCACCATGGCACTTAATGCCACTGCTCTATTTCCAGCCTCGCTGCTGAATTAAATGCATTTTCTCCCACTCGCTTTCTTCTTGTAGGCTACATACCAGCTCGCATAGCAACTCTTTTTCTCTGCTCCTGTGGCAGCTTGACTGCTGTCCTCACCATGGATGTATAAAGAGAACTCTGAACTCTGTCTTGTGTGACAAAGAATGGATGAGGAGAGACTCCTTGTTGATCCCGAGCTAAACGACTCACAATCCCTTCATTATGAAGACAATAGACAGGAGGGGGAGGAAAAAAACATAGCCAAAAAGATACTTATTTTAACCCAAAACACGTAGCTTTGTTGCCACAAAAATTTATGTTAACCAATGTGGCACTGATTTGGGAATTCAGGGCCAATGCCAATTTGCCTCTGATTTGTGGGGCTTTTGTTTGGGAACTCCGAAAAATGTTGGGGAGCAAAAAATCAGGGCTAAAGTCGTGTATTGTGAACTAGGCATTGCTCAAAAAAACTTAGTCTAAGGACACAACTATGCGCATTACTACCTTAAGAAACATTTATTTTCACTGTCATATCATAGGTAGCAGAATTTTCCCATGACTAACAAAACAGAATTTTTCTGTTGCTATGATAATTCAGGACAGCTGAGCCTGTGGGACCTGGAGGCATGTAGCGTCTTGTCTGTGATCTCCCTGGATGCACATGTCCACTGTATGAGGCTGCTTCCTGGATGCCAGGTTTCCATCCTGCTCGGTCTCAGCCACAGCCCCGCCCTCATCAGCGTCAGGGCAACATCCAGGACTGTCAGCTCAGCAACTCAAGTCCCTAAAGATGAAGACCTGTTTGGAGAGTCCAGCAGCAGTGAGGAAGAGGAGGAAGACTCCTGAAAATTCAACGTTTTACACCTCCTTATATATATAATATTTTTGCAGTCCTTGTTGAGCTTTTTATCAAGTGGTCTCCCTGATGTGTTTGAAATTAATTATTATAATTTGAATTTCTCTTTAACTAATCCTCCAAATTCAATGTAAAATCACCAATATTTTTTTTGTTGTGACTGCATCCTTTCAGGATCTCTGTGAGTTGATCAAAAAATGTATCACTTGCTGAAGGGGGTCTGTATGCACAGATGATAATGAATGACATTTGTTGGGACTGTTTGTTATTTTAGTTGCAGTGTTTACTACTTTGAACACAATGCGTTCATGTTCAATGCAATTTAACAATTGAATTTTCACATATATCATGTTCCCAAAAGTCTGTCTCATCGAAAACACTGACATCCCAGAAACATAAATGCACTGCTAAAAAAATTAAGGGAACACTTAATTGTCACAGTAAAACACCAAGTGAGTTAAACTTCAGGGATATCATTCTGTCCATTTAGGAAGCACAACTGATTGTGAATCAGTTTCACCTGCAGTCCAGTTGTCTACAATATAGCACTTAAGAACAGCTGCAATGGTGAGGCAAAAGTAAGACAACCCCCCAAAATTGGGGGGGAATTGTTTTGCATGTGGTGGCCACATCTTTCCTGACTGATTCTTCTCTAGTTTTGTTTTCTGCTAGTGTCCTTGTCACTACTGGTAGCATGAGGCGGTACCTGCAGCCCAATCAGGTTGCACAGGTAGTCCAGCTCCTCCATGATGTCACATCCATACGTGTAGTAGCAAGAAGGTTTGCTGTGTCTCCCAGCACAGTCTCAAGGACATGGAGGAGACACCAGAAGACCGGCTATTACACGAGGAGAGCTGGACAGGGCTGTAGAAGGGCATCAACCCAGCAGCAGGACCAGTATTTGCTCCTTTGTGTGAGGAGGAACAGGAGGAGCACTGCCAGAGCCCTACAAAATGACCTCCAGCAGGCTGCTGGTGTGCATGTTTATGATCAGACTGACAGAAACAGACTCCATAAGGGTGGCATGAGGGCCCAACATCCTCTAGTGGGACCTGAGCTGACAGCCCAGCACCATGCAGCAGAATTGGCAGGTCCACCAGTGGCACCCTGTTGTCTTCACAGATGAGAACAGGTTCACGGCGAGCACGTGACAGGCAATAAAAAGTCTGGAGACGCCATGGTGAATGCTATGCTGCCTGTAACATCATCCAGCATGACCGGTTTGGCGGTGGGTCAGTGATGGTCTGAGGAGGCATATCCCTTGAGGGTCACACAGACCTCCATGTCATAGCCAACGGTACCTTGACTGCTGGTAGGTACCAGGATAAAGTCCTCAGAGCAATTGTCAGACTTTATGCTGGTGCAGTGGGCCCTGGATTCCTCCTGGTGCAGGACAATGCCCCGCCTCATGTGGCCAGATTGTGGAGGCAGTTCCTGGATGATGAAGGCATTGATGCCATTGACTGGCCCTCTTGATCCTTTGACCTAAATTCAATTGAGCACCTATGGGACGTTATGTATCAGTGTGTCCAATGCCACCAAGTATTCCCCAGGCCACCATCCACCGACTCATCAAGAGCATGCCCAGACATTGTTGGGATTACAGACAGGCACATTGGGGTCATACACACTACTGAGCCACATTATGAGTTGCTGTGATAAAATTCATGCAGGTTGGATCAGCCTGTGATTTCAATTTGTTACTTTGATTTTCGGTGTGATTTTGAACCCTCAGTGGGTTGATGATTTTGGTTTCCATTGACCGTTGTTACATCATTTTGTTCTCAACAAATTATACAATGTACATCAGTAAAGATTTTCAACTTGAATAATTCATTCATTAATATCTAATGTGTGATTTATGTGTTCCCTTGATTTATTGAGCCGTGTGCTTTAGCTGGAGTAAACAGCTGTATCCATGTTGATGGCGGACCAGGTATGGTTGTAACCAAGAAGGAATGACCTGAGGCATATATGAAATTTCATAGCTTCATGAAGAAGTGTGATTTTTTTTTACAAAAAAAAAAAACAGATAATTCAGGTTAATGTAAAATCTTTGTGATACCTCATTAAATTGTAGAGCTGTGTAGATGATCCTTGGCCCGAGACACATTAGCTACATGCAGTTGAGACAATGTGGCCATATGTGGCCCAGACCACCACCAAATGTGATCTGAGCGATCAGAACTCAAGAGGCATTGAGGACACATTTTGATGCATTCACACCTGTACTTAGAGCTATCCACTTGTGATTCGATCACTCTGGACACATGTTAATGCAAAGTGTAACCAGGGCCTTACTCGCCACCTCTGCCTGGCCTCGCATAAGAAGATGAAAATGAATGGAGGGTTTAATAGATTGTCTCAATTTGTAATTCTTCACTCTAATTATTATACCTTGTCGTAACTTAAAGTTTTAAACATTGCTATGTGTAGTAAGTAAATAAGGGTACTTTATGTCAAAAATTCAGAGTTGTAAACACAGAAATTCAGCAAGCTATAGATGTTGAGGAATAAAAAGCACTATGACCATCCCCGATATTTAACTGAGAAAGTCCAGATCTGAGTTAGACAACAAATTAATCAACTGTTGTTCACTGTTTAAAGCATTACTTGTAATGTTTAAGTGTCTACCAAAATGTCTTCTCACCACTTCAAGGCCCTTTAGGACCTTTGCGTGATGACTGTTTGAAGGGTTGTAGATGGCCTCTGGTTCTCACTGCATGGTTATGACACAAGGAGGCACTTGTACTAGAGTTTATCAGTCAGCCAGTCATGTGGAGCAGTTCTAATATTTACATTAGGCTACAAAATGGGTTTAGTGTCCTGTGGTATTATAATTCTGGTAAGTTATAACATTGAGTAATGGCCAGAAAAGTGTTTTTGCAGAACACTAACATGTCACAGTGGAGCTGGCCTTTGACCTTTTGTATGTAAAATATCATCACTTCATCATTTTATCCTATTAGACATTTGTCTAAATGTTTTTTCATGTATGAATTCTTGAGATATGGCCAAAAACATGTGTTGTGAGGTCACAGTGACCTTGACCTTTGACCACCAAATTGTATTCAGTGGGACAGTAAAAAAAATAATGTGAAGTGTAAAAAAACAATCTTGGCTTAGTAGTGCAGCAGACTGTACTGGCCGGATTCAAACAGTGCATACTTCCACTGAAGGAGAAAAGAGACCTGAAAGTAACTGAATGACTATACTTTGTTTTAATGAATATAAAAAGAAATGTACACAATAGTGATAGTGAACCAGTGAAAACATTGAGTCCACAAACGTGACATCTTATTCCAGTGTCCAATCAACAATCATCTCCTCAATTAAATACCAATCTCTTGTAAACATATGTGTAGGTTATTCTCTATGAACCATTATTGTATGGAGACAGACACTGATTTCAAATAACTGCATACAATGAAGAAAGTTAAAATAAAGAAAAAAAAATAGTTTGGCCAAAATTGCAGAAAACAATAACCATTAGCAGGTATACCTTATTTTTAACTAGGACTTTGTCCAGAATGAAAAGGGAGTATTAACCTAAAGATGCTTCCATTTTTTCCTCGTACGTCAAAATAACAAAAGTCTCACAGTAAGCAAAACACTTGAGAAAGATGGCAGCTTCAAGCTGATGATTTTTGCAGCAGCTGGACTCCCTATAGACTACAGTACAGTTACAGCCACTGGGAACAACCAGTGATGTAACAGCACAAGTTCAATCACAACTTGTCCTTGATTAATAATAAGCGCTGCTACTAATGGTGTTCGATTGTGCTCTTACAACATCACGAGTACTGTTATCAACTACGGCTGATAGTCCTAACCCTCAGGCTGAAGACATCTCCCAGACCAGAGAGGGGTGACTGAAGACAGGTCACTACCTGGACCTGCGGTCTTTTCTGTTTTTGTCTAGGCTTTTGTCCATGGTCTTTTCGTTGTCCCCTCTGCATTTGGGGCAGTACCACTTGCCCTTGGGTTTGTAGGTCAGCCCCACACAGGAGAAGTGGAACCACTCAATGGGACATTGGTCATTGTCGCAGCCGATCATCTCGCCGTATGACACCTGCTCGCAAAGGCAGTAGGTGGGCTCGTTGGGGTCGATTGCGAAGTCAACCGGAGAGGCGTCTCGCTCCTGTTTGGCCTTGCGCTTTTTCTTTTTCGCAGACTTGGACTTCTTCTCTCGGGGCTGAGGAATGGACAGCTCCTCCACAGGGTCATCCACCAGAGAGCCGTTGGCTGACGGGTGGCTGGAGTCACGGCTTTCGCTGTTGCGCTGGCGTCGTGGGCGGCGGGCCGAGGTGCGTTCAGGGGCTGGGGTATCCTGGACATTGGTGCGCCGCTCTGTAGTGAGCCGCTCGGCCTCGCTGGGTTCCTGGAGGCAGAGGGAGTGAGAGTCCATCTGGCGGGAGCGGTTCTCCACCAGCTCCGTCATCTGGGTCACTACGTGGATCTTCTCGTCACCCAGTTCCTGGCTGATGATGAGTGCTCTCTGCAGCTGGATCTGCAGCCGCTTTCTCTGAGCCGCATCCTGCTCACCTTTGTACTTCTCAAACACTTCATCCACCTCCTTCAGCACCTCTGCAAAATAGGATACAAAGACAACGATTTTCAAATTGTTGAATGAATCAAGATTGAGGGAATATTTTACACATTTAGAAAATAATAAATAGAATAACAATGATAACAGATAAGCAAGAGCTGAGAAAGTTTTTAAGTCCTCCTACACTCTGTGGCCCCTTTTACTCTGCTTCTTCAAGGCAGGGATTTCTTGCCGTTACACCAACTTACAGCTCTATATAAAAGGTACAAACATGAAATGGGGAGTTGTTTCACCTTAAAGGCAACATCAGAGGTTGTAACAGCCAAAAAAATATCTGACATGGCATGTCTAAAAGGGACCTTTTAGTGGGAATGGAATGTTTTTTGTTTTCCTGATTTTATTTAAAGCTCATCAAATTGATAAGAACATATAAAGTCTGCTAAGAATGAATCAAAGCTAAGGATAATCAATGCATGATTTAAGTATTTTATTAATTATATGGCTAAATGTTCTCAACAGTTTCAATATGGAAAACTCGTATTTATTTCTATGTTGGCATGTCTGGTGATATCAGCTAATTTTACCTCATTATAGAGATATAAATATAGTGTATATGTGCTGAAAAATGTACAGTGCAAAGACACTTTCTCACTAA